AGCAACTTTTTTGTTGGAAATTGTCCAAATTTTCAGAAAAAAAATATGCCAAAGTGATTGGAACAATCTAGGTAAGTGTAAAGCAAAAAAACTGCCAAAGAGACATAAATGATGAAATCTAATCGAGTTCGAACCGGACTTTCATTTCCTAAACTATGTAAAAAGCTTCCCAAAGATGTCAACTACTGCCTGATGAAGTTTTGTAATGGGTCTTAAAGTTTAACGCAATGTAGACAACAATGTGTGGTGAAAAACGTGCAAAAAAAATCAAAAATAGGCCCAAAATGCCTAAAATCACCAAAAACAGCCATTTTCAGGACTTTTTTGCACGTTTTTCGCCATACATTGTTGTCTACATTGCGTTAAACTTTAAGACCCATTACAAAACTTTATCAGGCAGTAGTTGACATCTTTGGGAAGCTTTTTACATAGTTTAGGAAATGAAAGTCCGGTTCGAACTCGATTAGATTTCATCATTTATGTCCCATTGGCAGTTTTTTTGCTTTACACTGACCTAGATTGTTCCAATCACTTTGGCATATTTTTTTTCTGAAAATTTGGACAATTTCCAACAAAAAAGTAGCTGGGCACTTTTACTTTTGAATCATTCTACCCTGATCCAGGAATTATTTGAATATTTGTGATTTTTCATGAATTCCAAAAAAACCCTAAAATGGCCAACTTCGGGCCCCTGAAAAAGAGTGATAGATGGTCCCAAAAATTCTAATAAAATTTGGGGACATTTCTGACATCGGGAACAGCAAGTTTTTCATATTTGCAGAAAAAAAAATTTTTTGGCCATTCGATTTCACAGAGAATCGGCCATATACATGACGAACACCACAATAAACTGCAATGAGAAATAAACATAGACAGGAGAAAAAAAAACATCACACCAACACATCACCTACATATGATTACGCACAAAATACACAACACAGACTAGAAGCGAGGAATCAAAAGAAAAAGAATCAAAGAAAATTAAAATTTATTTTTGCTTAGTTAAGATAAGAAAAAGTAGCAAAGAAATTAAAAAAGTTTTTTTAATTTTGAAAAAAAAGAAAATCAAAGAATCGATTTTGTTATTATTATTTATGAATCAAAGAAAGAAAAATTATATTATTTATTTTGATGCAGCCATTGGCTAAATATTTAGTTTTATAAGCCTGATGGCCAAAGATTTTTGATTTAATAAGCCCGTTGGCAAAATGTAGATTTAGTTTGAGTAGCCAAATGGCAAACATAATTTTAATTTTATAGGAAAATGAATAAGTAGATTTAGTTTTGATAAGCCGATTGGCTCAGAAAGTTTGTTTTTTTTTGCTAAAAATATTTGAATCACTGAAAAAAAGTATGTTTGTTTTGTTCTACAATAAATTCTAATAGATTCCAATTGTGAATCATGGTTTATTTTTTTTATATGGCTCCCTTCCTGAATTTATGTATCGAGGACCTCAGACTTTATTGCAATTCAAGGTAAGATTAAGTAACAATTACAAGCAATTAACACTCCGCACGCGTGTCCCCGATGCGTTAGTTTAAGGAGAAGGGAGTTTGTAGCGGCATACTCGATGCGCTACAAGTCGATGAATGTCACTCTTAAGCTCACGCGTAGAAATAAGTTATGACGACGAGACGAACCCTATACACTATGCCCCTATCACACATCTATGTTTTCCCACATACACTTTAGCACCTGAAACCTGGAGAAGAGAGAGAAGCAAAGCGACGAGAACAGATCAAGACGACGAGACACTTATCACCAGACGTTCACAATAAAGAACGATATGAGAAAGGAGGCCACTAAACATCAACATCACTTGAGAGGTTAAAGGTTAGTTCGACACCGGCACCTCGGTCGAGGCAAATCTCAAGAAAAACATCAGAATTGCTGCGTACGAAAACTCGCACCATACGTACGAACACGAGACAGTCCATTGAGATACCAAAACATCCAGCAGCAGACGAGTAATGAACAGCGAACACATACCAGACAGAAACTCACAGCGTCGACACGTAAAATAAGCAGACGAGAATCATCGACCTATCGATCAATAATCGATTGGCTCTCGCGTGTACCTTCAGACGACACGTGAGGACGACGAGTACGACCACGTAGAAGTTGGCCTTATTATTACCGCAAGTCTGCTGGTACGCAAAGCATGTACGAAGTGTGTCGGGTTTGATTAACGAAAAGAAAGCAAAGAAAGTAAAAGTGAAATAGGATTGAAAAGTGTGTCTCCATCTTCGCCGTATCCCTGGTGACGACGCTCAACTTCATAGAAGCCGGCCACCAGAAATTGTCGACGAAAAAAGAAGATTTATCGTAAGCTAATTTAAGTATGACCTAGACAAATAAGAATACGAGCTCTCTCGCTCGGTTAGTAGAGTCTTCCCCCCCGGGACCCCGCGTCCCTCCGAGACTTTTTCGCGAGTGTTAATTGCTCTCCGCTAAGCCAGACGAATAATTAATTGTAAAATTGAAGACGAAAAGATTGTATACGAACAAAGACGAAAACCAGTTATCAAAAAAATTTCACTTAATTGTTGTTAACTTATTATTTGTATTTTACAGTCCACGTGGCGAGTTTCACGTGGTGGCGCACTTACTATCAAAACCAATGAACTGGCATTGTTTATTATCAGAGCTCGAGCGGGTAAATTGTCTATACCGATCTGCCTCGAGACTCTGCTCTGTTAAATGATGCCGTCGGGTTTTAACAAAATTAGTCGGGAACTTGAGGATTGTTTTTTTGTAACAGCTTTAATTGAAATAACACTTAAAACTAATTAATAACAAAGAGTATATATAGCACGACGCACTGGTCGATTTGGTAAGTATTACAAACTGTGGTCGAGTGTCGAGCTCTGTAATACGACGACTGACCAGTAAAATTCTGCGGCCGTTACAACGAGTCGCGCTTCTAACATCAACATAAACAAAGTACAATGTGTACAGAAAATAGGCGCGAACTAATTCGAACATTCCGCCCGCCTTGCTGCATACCAGCAATTATAAAGTGTAAGCATTATCCACGATCAACATACAAGTTAAAACAAAATCACAAATCATCTTAGCATAAGTGAAAAAGAGAATACAAACGTAAATAATAAAAATACAAACATAGAAAAACATAGAAAAAAATCATAATTTTATCTTCTCAACTCATGCACTGTCTTCATTAATGCACTCTTGAGCGTCCTGGTCCAATGGAAGTTTCACCAGCTTAACGATCGGTCGCATAAGCTGAGACGAAGCGGTCTTGATCGTGACTACACGCACAAGTCCATCTTTACCAGGGTGCACCTCAGTGACCAATCCAAGCGGCCACCGCGCGGGAGGTGAAAGCTCATCCTTTACCAATACCATGTCACCAATCTTGAAATTTTCGTGCTGGTCGTACCACTTGTTACGCTGCTGCAACTGGTTCAAAACCTCCTTCCTCCAACGCACCCAAAACGAATTACGAAGCTGCACAATCAATCTCCAACGTTCGTTCAAGCTCCTTCTTTGATCTTTCTCACATTTTTCCAATTGAATAAGATACGCAGAGCCGACCAAAAAGTGTCCAGGTGTCAATGCCACTAGGTCATCGGGACAATCGCTTTGTCTGCAGAGAGGGCGAGAATTCAGACACGCTTCGATTTGGGCAGCCAGTGTAGATAACTCTTCGAATGTCATCGGTGTATCGCCAATAATCCTTTTGAAGTGATACTTAAAGCTTTTGACAGCTGCCTCCCATAATCCACCGAAGTGCGGAGCTCGCGGGGGTATGAAAGTCCACTCCGTGCCCCGAGACGCAAGTCGTTCCGTGACCGTCGAATAGAAGTCCGAAGCCTCCGTGAACATGCGTGCAAGCTCAGTCGAGGCCTTCTTAAAAGTCGTAGCATTGTCCGAGTAAATTCTCGTGCACACTCCTCGGCGAGCTACAATTCTCGCGTAAGCTGCCAAGAAAGCATCCGTGGTAAGATCCGATACAATTTCAATATGTACTGCCTTCACAACGAGACATACAAAAATCGCCACGTAGCCCTTTGTACTCTTCGCTCCGCGACCACGCGAGAAAAGCACGGACACTGGTCCGGCATAATCCAATCCAGTGCTTGCAAAGGGCCGCTGTGGAATGAGGCGTTCTGCAGGCAGTGGAGCCATCTGCTGCCTTCCTGTTTGAGCTCGGTATCGTGCACATTTCACGCAGTCGCGATATAGTCCGACGACGATCCTCCTTGCGCCAGTGATCCAGTACTCACGGTGCAACTGCGAGAGCATCAACTGCACGCCCCCATGAAGAGTCAACTTATGAATACCGCTGATCAACCTCCGAACAATCTCACAGCTTCCTGGCAAAATTACCGGGTGTCGCTCGCCGAACGAGAGCGGCGAATTCTGAAGTCTACCACCAAGACGAATAATGCCCTCACGGTCGATGAACGGTGTCAAGCTGCGCAAGTTGCTTCTCTTTGGCAGCGCTTTTCCCTGTTTCATGAGGCTTATCTCTGTCGAGTAATATTCTCGTTGTATAACTTTGTAGCAGGCGATCTTAGCCCACCTGAGCTCCGAGAGAGTGAGAAACGGTCTCATCTGTGACGCAGAATTGCTTCGTCGCGCTCTAGTCCTGCTGAGCCAGCGACCGCAGTACCCCAAAACGCGGGTCAATTTTAGAAAACTTGAATACTTCGTCAATCTTGCAAGCATGGTGTCTTCCTTCTTGATTACCTTCTCTCTTATTTCTTGAGCCACATATGCGTCTACTTCCTTCTTCTTCAAAGCTTGATCTGTTGAAGCAGGCCAATTGGAGCTCGCCGAGCCAAGCCAAGCCGGTCCCGTCCACCACAACTCAAATGTAGACGCCTGAGCAGGCGTGAGTCCCCTAGTAGCACAATCTGCCGCATTATCCTCCGACACGACATGATGCCAAACTGCCTCTGGGAAAGCTGAATTTATCTCGCTGACTCTGTTCGCTACGAATGTTTGCCAACGCGATGGGTGACTGTTTAGCCAATCCAGTACAACTTTAGAATCGCACCAAAAATGAATCTGTTCCGGTTGCGTATCCATGTTTTCCAAGACCTGTTTAGTCAACTTGACCAAAAGAGCAGCTCCACACAGCTCCAACCGAGGCAGAATCTCCAGCTTTACTGGAGCGACCTTTGTTTTTGCCATAATTAATGTCGCCTTTTTTCCTGGGATCACCATATAGACCGCCGCAGCGTAGGCTCGCTTTGAGGCATCCGAGAAACCATGCAGTGTCCAAGCACCAACTTCAGGCCCGCCGAACCATCGTGGAATTCTAATCTTCGAAACATCCTTCAGCGACTCACGAAATCGCTGCCACCTGAGGGAAATCTCACCCTCGAGAGGGGTGTCCCAATCAAGTTTTTCAATCCAGAGATCCTGGAGTAATATTTTTGCCGTGATTATCACCGGAGCCAGCCATCCTAATGGGTCAAAAAGCTTTGCCACGTCGGAGAGTATGTTCCTCTTGGTGATCACTTGTGGCATCGGAGCTAGCGAGGATACAAACAAAAATTCGTCGCTCCGTGGGCACCACTTCAGGCCCAGCGTCGACACCACGTCCTCCAATTCGACAGAAACTTTTTCGCCGTTGTCTGCAGCAATATCACGCAGCAGCACAGCCTCGTTGGCCGACCACTTGCCAAGCTCCATACCAGCGGTCATCATCATTTTTATAAGTTGATTTCGGCGATCGATTGTTTCATCAATCGCATCTCCTCCACCGAACAAGTCGTCGACGTACACCCGGTGATCCAATAAACGAGCTCCCTCTGGGTATCGTTCACGCTCATCCGCTGCAAGCTGCTGAAGGACTCTGAGAGCCAAAAACGGAGCCGGGGCGGTGCCGTATGTGATGTAGCGTTAGGTTAGGTGGGAAAAATAAATAAGAGAACGAAACTTGAGCTACTAATAAATGTCAAGTACGATTATTAATTAATTAAATTATAATTGTATGGTGTAATTTTGAAGGGCGCCACTGCATGAGACGGCATGCAGACCGTCGTGATAATTTTCGTGTATTCGTTTTTCCGCGAGTTCGCGTCGACCGGCTCGGCTCGTCGGCAAGATGTGATTTTCTCCTGGGTGCGAGTAAATAAACGTACGCGACAGACGCGGCGACTCGACGGTGAGATTACGGCTTAAAACTACCTTTCGCAAAATCTTCGGCACGTCGCTGTGTCGTCGTCGTCGTCTCGTCTCGGCGTCGATGATGATGGCCGCTGATGGTGTCGATGGTTTATGCCTCAAAACTTCACTTGGACTCGTCAGTCCAAGTGGATGGTTCGTAAAACTCGTCGAGCACACACACACACAATATATTTGCAGAACGTTGCCTGCTTCTTTCGAGGACGAATTTTTAAGACCTTCGTCTGTTCGGCTAATTCGTTGAGGTTAGTGTCCTCGTTTCGCTTCTCGTGGCACGAGAGATTCTGCGATCTTTTTCGCTGCTCGATAGATCGCAGCGTCGCGCGCGCCTCTCTTGGCGCTGCGTATCGTGATCGGAGGCACGTGTCGTTGCCTGCTCGTCACGTCGTGTGTGTGCGCGCGTGTGAGTGTGCGTGCATCCTGCGTGTGCTCGGCGCATGTGTGTGTGTGCGTCGCTTCGCCTCGTTGTCGTCCCGTCTCTGCTGCGTATGTGCGTGTCCATTGTATAATCTATTGTATACGCGCGAATGCCGGCTCGCGGGCCTCGTAAGTCGCCACTTGTAGCCAGTACATTAGATGTACTGCTACAGTGACTGTAAGCGCTCTATAATCCTGTACCGGCTGTGATTTTGTTGAGCGCCAAAGTATGCGCTGATAATCGGTATCCTCTGGGTGCACCAATATTTGTCGAAACATCTTGACGATGTTCGTGACGAAGACAAATCTGAAGAGACGCCACCGGGTAATCACTGACGTGACGTCCTTTTGCAGTTTTGGGCCGGTCAACAAAGTCTCGTTGAGCGATACTCGGTTCGCAGCCTTCTGCGAAGCATTGAAAACGACTCTGATCTTGTCCGAATTCTCCGATTTAAACACTCCATGATGCGGCAGATAAAAGCTCGGAGCCGAGATCTGAGTCGGCGGCACGAGCTCCATGTGTTTCAACTGCAAATACTCTCTCATAAAATTATTATAAGATAAGGATAGTCGGGGACTTTTCATAATTCGTCTCTCCATTCGAAAGAGACACGACAGGGCTATATCTCTCGAGCATTCAAATCTAGTCTTGGCCGCAAACGGCAACCGGACTACGAACCTGCCCTCCGAGTTTCTTGACGTAGTCTTGACGAAGTAGTCTTCACAAAACTGTTCCTCCGTCGTCCAATGCTTTGTTTGGGCTATATCCTCGATTTGCCAAAATTTTTCCAACAGTTGATTCAGCGTTGGCTCAGCAATGGTGTGGAAAGCTGTCACCTCCTGGGGCCGGCTCGTCGATTCATCACCGCCCTCACCCGTCAATATCCAGCCAAAAACCGTTCGCTGCGCTACCGGAGTGCCCTCGGGTCCCTTCTTCAATCCGTCGAGTAAGATGCTCGTGTACATGTCAGCCCCAATCACACAGTCCACGCGATCGGGTCTGTGAAAAGCCGGGTCCGCCAGCTGCACTCCTTTCAGGTGTGACCATCGAGTGATCTGCAGCTGAATCCTCGGCATCAATCCAGTAAGCTCGCTCATAACCAAGGCAACTACGGATGTAGTAAACTCGGGCATCATCTTGGACTTTATCGTCACGCGTGCTTCTTTCCGTGCTGTTGACGCGTGAGACCCGCCCATTACCTTGATATTCACAGATACCTTATCCATTTTAACGCACAGTGCTTTCATTGCGCGTTCCGTGACAAAAGAGCGTTGCGAACAAGGGTCTATTAAAGCTCGAACTTGCAGCTCATTGCCGAATGAATCCAACAAAACTATTCGCGCTGTCGCGAGCAGTATCAATTGATCGTCCGATCGCCTTCTAGACATGTCCTGTCCCGCGAAGTAAACCGATGCTGGTGGGTCCTCATTTCCGTCGATCGGAGCTCCAGTGCCAGCTCGCTCATTTGATGTATCAGTAGATTCCTGTTGTGTCCGAGTATCTGCATGAAGTTTGGTGTGATGTTTTGCTTGACACACTAAACATCGCTTCTCTGATTGGCAGTCTCGCGCGAAGTGGGATCCCGAAAGGCAGTTCAAACACAATTTCTCCCTCCTGCACACCTCATACCTCTGCGACTGAGGCAGAGAGAGGAACTTCTGGCACGAGTACAATACGTGCGTGCCTCGACACAGCGCGCATGTGCGAGCGGTTGGCTTTCGAGCTACTTGCGTACTGGTCGCATGGGCTGATACTTGTTTATATTTACTTGGCGCGCTTTTTGCCGATTTAACCGCCGAATTTTCACTCGATGTAGATGGCTGCGGCCCCGCCGATGTTGTGCTAGCTGCGTCCAGCACTCGTATGTAACGCTCGAGGAAGCTTATGAGCTCATCGTAGGACGGGAAGCTCGTGAGTTCGTCGGCGTGTCGTTCCCAATCCAGACGCGTTGATTGATCCAATTTATGAATGGTGTGGTGAATCAGCCACAATTCCGACATACGAGCCGGCTCTACATTCAAGTTATCGAGCGCCTGCTTGGACTCGCGCACTAGATCCACCAGTCTACGCACCTCTTCTACTGATTTTCTTTGCATGGGTGGGCAGTTGACGATATGCGACATGTGCGTAGATAGCAAAACTTTTTTTATTGTCGTACCTGGCTTGAATAGCCTGCCATGAACTCTCATAATTTTCTCCGACAATCTGTACGTTCTTGAGTCTATTAGCTGCTTCTCCCGTCAATGATCGAATCAAATATTGTAATTTTAAAATCGGCGGGAACGTAGGTACGTCGTGTACGAGTGCCAGAAACATTCCCTTGAACGTCTCCCATTCCAACTGATTGCCCGAAAACTGCGGAAGCTGCATCGACGGTAGTGGTGTCTTGTATTGCGGAGTCTCAAAGCTGACTCCAGCATACTGTGAATCCGCTTGAATTGAGGTCTGTCTCCGGCCGGGGCTCAGAACATCCAAAATTTCCGTTTTTACCGCGATATACTGGTTCTGGCCCGCAGCAAACATGTCGTCTTGGAAATAGGGACGCTGTTCTTTGTCCTTTTCTGACCAGCGGATCAGCTTCTTGTGGGCTTTAAGGAAATCACTCCATAGACTCTCGAGTTGTTCTAATTGCGTTTTGAACCAACTTGTAGTTCTTTTCTCTCTTGGTGCTTTCAGCATCACCGTTCTGAAGTTGCTGAGAATTTCCGCTAATGCCAGCTGATCCTCGAGAATTTCCTCCATCTTGTTCCGACCAAAACCACGCTCTGCTACCAAAATGTTTATTATCAGAGCTCGAGCGGGTAAACTGTCTATACCGATCTGCCTCGAGACTCTGCTCTGTTAAGTGATGCCGTCGCGGGTTTTAACAAAATTAGTCGGGAACTTGAGGATTGTTTTTTTGTAACAGCTTTAATTGAAATAACACTTAAAACTAATTAATAACAAAGAGTATATATAGCACGACGCACTGGTCGATTTGGTAAGTATTACAAACTGTGGTCGAGTGTCGAGCTCTGTAATACGACGACTGACCAGTAAAATTCTGCGGCCGTTACAACGAGTCGCGCTTCTAACATCAACATAAACAAAGTACAATGTGTACAGAAAATAGGCGCGAACTAATTCGAACAGCTATTTTGCTCTCGTTTTTCAGCTCGGACCTTTATAAAGCTAAATCTATTTATTTTTCGTATCTAATCATATTTTATACGCGTTACAATAAATTCTAAATAGTTATTGTTTGAGTTTCAATTTAAGGTGAAAATATACCGAATTAACCTAAAAATACCGAATCAACACTTGCATACATTAAACCATTATTTTGTAAAAGCTTTTTATCATTGTAAAAAATTAAATTAAAAATTTTTGAAAGTTCATTACTAATTATCATAATTATTCATTAATTAATAATAAAATAAGATATCAAAGTTTACAACTGCACATTGCCATGTCTTAATCTTTTTTTTCAAATTTTATGTTTAAATAATTGTCTTTTATAGGGCGTTTTCCAATTGTCACAAAAAGGTCACTTTATTAGCACTGGAGGCAAAAAAAACAAGGACTCTCATTTGTTCAATCCTCAACGCCTCCAGGCAAATCGTAAAGGGGCCATTTTGTGACAATTGGAAAACGCCCTATAGTTCGTTTCTTTATTTAGAATTTTTTAAATCAATTTTATTATTAATTCGGCTTATACTTAAGGGGAGTCATTCACCAATTCACTCCTCTTTTTAAACCACAGTTTAATGTCAATTTACATTTTCAACATAAAATTGACATCTTTGAGCCCTAAAAAATGTGAAAAAAGTTGCAGAATAAGCATTTGCATCTAAAAATAGCTCGTTTTTGCTATTTTAGCCTTTCTGTACTGTGCGCAAGGTTCAGATCAGAGTTATTCAGCTGGGAGTTCCTGATAGGCTTCAAAATCTTCAGAAAAGTATCCTTTGTGGGCTGAGTTTTGTGGAATTTTGATTTAGACCTTCATATTAGTTCTATTATTCAATATAAAAAACATTGATAAGTATTTTTTATTTCTTGCTTTCTTCACATGTGTTGGCAGACAAACTTTTTTATAACTCTAATCAAAATTCCACAAAACTTAGCCCATAAGATACCTATCAGGAACTTCCATCAGAATAACTCTGATCTGAACCTTGTGCACAGTGCCAAAAGACTAAAATAGCAATAATGAGCTATTTTTAGATACAAATGCTTATTCTGCAACTTTTTTCACATTTTTTAGGGCTCAAAGATGTAAATTTTATGTTGAAAATGTAGATTGACATGAAACTGTGGTTTGTATAAAAGAAAATAACAAGGAGGAGTGAATTGGTGTATGACTCCTCTTAACTAATTTTCAACATAAGCGTGTAGAGGGGGTAGCCAGGCGCGGTGAGAGTCGAAGGGTGACCAGCTACTATAGTTCAACTACTTTTGGACAGACGTACAGGTCGCATTTTGCATCTCCAAGGACTGGTATTTGAGCATACAATCATTATCTTTTAATTTCTTTATTATTTCTGCTTAAAAATTCTCATAAAGGATCTCAAATGTTCCATTTAGACATAAACTCTACCCTGTAGGTGCTTATATTTGTTAATAAGCTCACTATAGGTGATTTATAATACCAATATCTCGCAACTTGACTAAACTGTCCAGAGACTGGGTCGTATTATGAAATAATTGTCAGTTTGTGAGCTTAGCCTGATCAAGCTATTTAACTCAATGATATAATTCTAACTCCAATGATGTCAGCAAGCAAGAGTTCCATATTCTCTTGTCAATTAATGAAAATTATAAAATAATTACTGGATACAGCAATAATTAACTGTACAAAGTATCGTTTTCACTTTATTAAATATCTCGGCGAGCCGTTAAGTTTAATACAAAATCAGAGAGCGCTTAGATGTTAGCTACTCCGCGGTAGGCTCAGCTATGCCATATACGACACTTCAATCCGTTGAGGTTCGCCCACTCCCTGAGGCAGGGCAGCTTGAGTCTGGTGCCCCAGGACGACGCGCACAAATCCAACGAAAGTCTCGAGCTCGCCGCGAGTTTCTACAAGCCGAGATTACTCGAGGCCGGGGAGACGTTGGACGGACTGGTGCGCGGATTCGCCCGGCAGAGCTCGCGAAAGCTCGATCTTGGTCTGGCGGCCGACTTATCGAGCCGGCTGTACAAGACCAACGAGTCGGCGGCGGGCCTGGATCGGCTGAGCTTCGACATTCAGCGCGGACGAGATCACGGATTGGCCGATTACAACGACTATCGACACCTGTGCGGTCTGCGACAGGCCAAGAGCTTCGACGATTTCTTGGATCATGTGCCCTGGGAGAGCGTCAAGTTGCTGCGAAAATTGTACAAGCAACCCGGAGATGTGGATCTGCTGGTCGGAGGCTTGGCCGAGAGATCGATCGAGGACGCGGCGATCGGTCCGACTTTTAGGTGTCTGATAGCAGCGCAATTCTTGAGGACCAGAAGAGCCGATCGATTCTTCTACGATTCCAGTAGGCAGCCCAAGCCGTTCACGACCAGTGAGTGGGAATTTTTTATTAGAACTATGTGTCTATGATCGAGTGATTATTTTAATCGTTTGAAATCGTTGCAGATCAAATGGACGAGCTGAAGAAAGCCGCGCTAGCCAGAATATTCTGCGACAATGGGGACGATATCGCCAAAATGCAGTCCAACGTCTTTCTCAAGCCGCAAGTGGGGTAAGTTATTTTTTTAATAAGCCGTCAGAACGTTAAATAGAGATGAAAACGTCTTTCTCTTTTTTAGAAACGAACTGCAATCTTGCCAAAACTTCGATGCCATAGATTTAACCACATGGATTGAAAATATCGCATATTAGTTTGAATTTTTCAACGCGATGCAATTCAAACTGTGATCGACTTTCTAAAGTGACTCCGGCTGCCAATAAGAATCAAAACGAATGCGATAATATCCACAACCAAGTGTGTAAGATATAACTCTTATGCTTACGTTTTATCAGTGATTGTTAATGATGTACAGATATCGAATAATTCACTTAATATTGTACATTACGAGTGAGTTAATGTTGTTTTAAATTGAAGAAACAACGCCGTTTGTTTCTATCTACCAATATAGCACTTATTTTGACAAGGATACCTATGCTTTTTCCAGCAAATGGAGAGCGAGCAGCAAGTAGTGAAAAGCTCACGCTGTAGTAAGTTGTGTTAAAGTATTTTTGATAATATATTTTTTATGGGAGTTCAAATTTTGCTCATCGAGATTAGTTTGAGTAAAAACGACTTTTGATTCAAGTTTAAAAGTAAATGAAAAAATAATAATATTAACAAGGTTTGATTACTTCTATAAATAAAATAATTTTAAAACTGATGGCTTACAAGTGAAGTTTAATTTTACTGATGAGACCTTTTAGTTTTCTCCTAAAATCAATAAAAATGTAGCTGCATCAGGTATTTCAAGTAGCGAAGTAGCAACATGGTCACTCCAAGTAAAATTATATTTGTCGTTTTTAAATTATACTTTTAGCTGCCGATAATTAGTGTTTATTACTTATTAGAAAAAAATTAAATGATTTAGCCAATCCTGATTCTAAAGTATAGAAAACCAAAAAATTACTTAAAGGTACAATTAATTTTTATGACAGGTTTGTATCTAGATTACAAAAAAAATGTCTCTTGTTACAAGAGAACGAGATAGTTATGAGAATAATTTAGGATAGATATAAATTAAACGATGCTTTTTGATATCAATTAAAGTCGACGACTGTGCTGTTAATTTTTTTATATAAATTTATTCTTACTTAAATATAATATTTGAAAATTTTATGTATACATACATACACGACCAATTTTTTATTGCAAAAACTTTGATACAACTTATATTTATATTTCACTTTTATAATTAATCTAACTATTTAATATTTAAAAAACGCAACAACGATTCGAACGAATTTTTCTTCGATTTTATCAAATGACATATAAGTTGATGACATAAAAATCCTCGCACTTTTTTCTTTTACGCAGTCAAAAAGTTTGGCGTAAATTTTCTTGAGAAAATACTAAAAAATACTACTATCATCGCATACGAGTGAGTGACGTCACTTACTTACAATTAATATAAATGGAAATTTTGTAGTAAAAATAAAAGAACAGCTTATTAAATGTATTTTCAATATTCGCTTTTTAATATAAATGTAAATCCTAATTAATTTAGCTTCATTATTTACATAATAAAGAGCATTATTTAATGAAATCTATAAACTACAGGAATCTGATTGGTGATAATTTTCGTTTATATGTCTTTTATCAACGTATACACGAAACTTGCTTTTCATTTATATACAAGGTTTTATGCGTTTTGATAGGAAAGGGAAAAGACTCAATAATACAAGAGCAAGTAGAAAGTAGAAACTAAAAGAAATGAAGAGGGATGATGGCAACAAACGATGACATGCAAAGCCAAATATAAAAATTGTAGTGACGTGCAATTAATTAAGAGTCCCTCGACATTGTGGTGCTCCACACAAACAAGGTATTTTATCGTCCTCCAAGGGAAATTTGTAATCGTAAGTTATTTCTTCGTTAACTCCAATCGGTTGTTTACTATAAATCACAATTTTCTTTTGACTTTCTATCGTTATAACTTTAGCGTAACAGTTCGGCTGAAAAAAACATAAATTTTATTTCAAACACTCTTCGTAATAAATAAACGTATTGGAATTTAAAATACATTTAAATCGTATCAAATTGAAATACTTACATTACAACTATGATTAATGAATCGAGCCAAATTACCGCACTTGGTGGCATCTATGATAGTTTCCAAGTCAATACGGAACAGATATGAGCTGCCTATTCCGGTAGCTTCATATTGTGTTTCACGCAGATCGGCAACTATTGGTCTTATCATTTGTCCGACATATTCAATAACCATCTCGTCGGCTGCTATAGGCTCCATTGCGAATAAGCCCCAATCGTGGATACCAGATTTGGCAAATTTCAATTGTTTTTTGCGGAACTGTAGGAAAAATTATAGAATAATAAACCGAAATTTTGATAATTCATTTTAAGTAAAAGAAGGTTTGTTTCAAACTTACCTTGAGTTGATTGAATTTGAGTAAATCACTGTCGGTGTCAATGCCGAAAGCTGTTAGCAAACGTCTTTGGTTGCTTCTGGCTTCTCGCGAAAGTGCCTGCATCTTACCCTGAATTGCTCTTGTATTGTCAATACTAGAATTGTTAACAGACAATCCACCGCTAAAACTACTTGGATCTTGCCCTCCAAGCGCTTGGTTGCGACTGCTTGTGGTGAGGCGACTTTCATCCGAGTTCGTACGATGCGTGTATTGATGCTAAAAAAAAAATAAATAAATAAAAGTAATAAAAATTCGTGATCGAATAGACATAACACTAAAAATGATTTCTTTTCTAAATACCTTATTTTTCATTTTTTCTACCAGTTCAACCTTGTAATAACCTTCTGTTCGAGCACAACCGGTAGTGTGCACCCTGGAATCGTCTCGTTTTCTTCTCTTCGGGGGCGATCGAACATCGGTAGCTGGATGATCTACCCAATGCGTGTCATTTAACCAATAGCTCTGTTGATCATCGGCTAATAGCGCTTCGTAGCTACGCCTGAGATACTCCATGTCTTCGTGATCGATGCCAGATTTCAAGAATTCGAATAAAATTTCCATTTCATCCATTATAGTACGTTCTTTATAAATAACCGGTGTGGCAAATGCTTGCGAATCTGGCCCCACTTGCGATGGCGGTGCAACAGCTCCGACCAGTGAAGGTGGCATTAAATTTTCGAAATTGATAGATTTAATTTGCATATTCTCCTTCTCCAAAATTGCAGCATTATTGGCCTAGTAAATTAAAAAATTATTGAGTTAATTATATTTTTTGAGTAACTGAAACATTTAAAGAAAAATAGAATAATTACCCTAACTTGTTTCTTCTTTTTGTCCTTGCCAGAAGGACTAATGGCAGTTTTGTTAGCTTTATCTTGTTTAGTTTGTTGATCCGCGCCTTTTTGAACGTTGGGCAACATGGAATAAGAGTGTTCCATATAAACTTTGGATAATTCTCGTGGTTTTGTTTTCTTAACTTCGACAGGAGCATTTTGTTGCAATCTATTAAAATTAAATTAACAATTAATAAATAAACTTGTGCTATGTTAATTTTTCATTTTAGAATTAATAATATGTACCGTTGCCTCTTGACTTCAAGACTTTCTTCATCAGAATCACTTGTGGGTATATCTTTAAACATTTCAATTTTCTCCGATTCTTTCAATATAGGTTCATCATTAATATAACGATCCGACATACTTTGAATTTTTTCAATGAAATGCCCGCCAATAGTCGAGGGCGGAGCACGTTGTGGTTGTGGTTGAAGTGGTGGGTCTGAAGCAGCAACAATAGGCGGTCTAATTAGTGGTTTATCACTTGCGAGTGACATGAGGGCTTCAATAGCCGACGTTTCCATATTCTCGATGTCTGATCGATGGGGCGATGGTTTCTTCTCGATCGTTGGGAGGATCATTTCTTGCTGAGTCTGTAAAACGAAAGTTTCATTGTTCATCTCCTATCGTGATATTTATTAGAGGTAAAAGTTACTCATTAATATGATCGAAACTTACAAAATCTGTAGGCATATCCACGATCATAGGCTCAACAACCTTTTCTTCTGGTGTTTCTTCAATGTATCCTGCCACTTGATCGATTGTCATTTGCTCTTTGTCTATTACTTCCTCATCATCATCTGGAATTTCCGGAAATTCGTCGTCGGTTACAATGTTCATATTTGGTGTAGGCGTGGGAGGTGCATCAAATGGAGTAGGAACACGCATCGCCAACTGTATTGCAAGCTCCAATTGCACCTCTGGTTTTGTACTGTCTCGTGCCAGCGGCCTGGTATCCAACTGAAACATTGAAAATCAAGTAAATGACGTTGGTTAAAAATTATTTTAACCATTTATGAACTTTAAAATTTAATTTACGTACCTCTTCATCAGAGCTTGCAGTGGTGGTAGAAGAATCAGTACTGCTACTGGAACTGTTATCTTCTTCTTCAGATTCTGAAGACGAAGATTCAGAAGAACTACTTTGCAGTGCTGTTGATCTTCTCTTAGTGGGTACCTTGACCTTAGGTTCAACTACAGGAGTAGAAATTGGTGAACCAATGTCGCTATCGCTATCGATAGGTTCGGCTAATGGCACTCTACGATCATTCGTAAGAGCTGTGGTCCCTGATTGACGACTGTCTTCATCTTGAACTGGTACAGGACTTGGTGCCTTTATTCTCTTACGCTAATAAATTTAAATAATAATCAAATTTAGAGAATAATTTATTAGACTTTTGCGATTTGCGCAAAAATTTAAAAAATAAAGCCTACCTTAAATGATGGCATTTTGGGCATACTAGCTCTAATTCCTAATGTGAAACCTTCATAATTAAGCCCCAATGGAGTTGTAGCTTGCTCCAATAAAGAAGCAAATCCTTGAGTTTTAATCTCATCTTTGGAAATGACTGCAGCTGCTGCAGCTGCAGCTGTAGCACCCGCAGTTGGAGCTGTCATATCAGCAGTTGAAGCAACAACAGTATTTATAAGCGTTGTTCCAGGCAATGGCATTTGACTCATAGTCTCTTTCTGTTTGCGTTCGTCCCACCAACTGTCGAATAATTTGAAGGCTGTATTTTCAATCATTTTTTTATTGAAATCCTTTTTAAGAATCTGTTTAAGCTCTTCAACGACTTTATTTAATACCCCATTGATCGTTGGACCCTTTAAAAAAATACAATAAATTATGTTATCTTCAATACAAGCATAGCATGATATTATTGTATACTAAATTTTTTTACCTGTGGATTATCTTTAGTAATACTCTGACTAGCCATAGCTTGTAATCTAGAGGTAAAATTAGGATAAAAACCAGGATTATGACCAGCAGCTCCTAATGGTAATCCTGCTGGAGGGTTCCCAGGCAAGGCTGGTGCAGCACCAGGAGGTGGATATTGATTGGGTATGTAGGCTGCTGCTGCACCATATGGATAAGGATATTGACTAGGCCTTAGAGGCCACTGTTGTTGGGGTACCGGCATTTGTGGAGGTGGATATACTGGTGGAGCAGCAGGTATACCAGTTGTGTAGGGTTGTATAAAGCTAGGAAAGATATGATTTACCACTTCATGGGTAGAAATCTGCAAATTTCAAATAAATTAATAGTTGTGTATAATGAAAAAATATTAAAATTTATATATTTTTGTTACATACTTCTTCAATTTTTTCATCGCCAGAGCTTAAAGGACTGAGAGACATGCAATCATCATCCATTGTAATATCTTTATTTTGATTTTCTTTCGAAATGTCAGTTGCTGCTTTATATCCTGTTGTTGGACTATAACTACCTAATAAAGCTTCATCTTCACTGGAGCTAATTACACTTCCTAAGTCTTCATCTATTTCAGTTTTAGGAATTTGGTTCAAACTGTTCTCACGTTGACGACGTCGCTCACGATTTCTCTCTTGAACTTTTTGAAAATTTGCTTCATAAATTTCTTTAGTTAAGTAAGGACTCGGAGGATCTGACAACATTTCTTCACCAGGGCCTGATTTATTTTCATCTTCAGAGTCACTACCAAACTGCAAGAATGCAGGGGCCATTCCACCAGCCTTATCTTTTAACAACATAGCAATTCTAGTATCCAAGTCGAGTGTATTGCGTTGTTCATTTGGAGAGTCAAAATTTTCTTTCTTTGACGAACTCACAGCTGAATTAATGGGTTCAATTGGAGATGTAGAGTCCTTTTTCTTTGAAGTTTTACCAATGTCATTAACAGTCACTGGAACATTTCTATTGACTATAGGAGGCACATTTAGCATGTCAGGAGTCATGGTACCTGCAGGAGGCCACACCGTACCAGGAGGAAAATGTGCATCCGGTGGTGGTGCATTAGGCCACCAAGTGTTAGGCTGCATAGGAGTGACTCCTTGAGGTAATGTACCCATGTAGTTAGAAGCTTGGGTTGGAGGAGGATGATGGTGGTAATTACCATAAAAGAATTCATAATTATTAGCTGCAGTGGAGTTTTGTGGGAAACTGCTTGGATAAGTAAGTTCAGAAGGGGTTGTGCCATAACCTAATTCACTGTTATTACTAGAGCTCAATATATTACCAGAAGGAGGAAAATCATTTCGATATGTTGTTGACGTTGATGACTTATTTGTATACCTTGAATTTTCTACATGACTTTTTTCATGAGTAGGCTTACTTTTAGAATGCCTACTATTTCTTTCATCACTTTTTACACTACTTGAAACTTTTTCAGAAGTTAACGGAATCTGCACCCTTTTGTTTTGATCAATGTCAGACTTAAATCAAATGAATTATAAATTATAAGTATCGAATTTTATCAATATCAATTAATTTTTTAAAATAATATAGATATACCTTTATTGGTGGTGGTGGCGGTATAACTGGAATAGGTGGAGATATTTCTTCTTTTTCCTTTTCAGGTACTTTCTTTTCAATTTTTTTTTCAATGGTGTAATCATCAAAAAGCTTTAGACACTTTTTACCAAAAGGATCTAGAAAAACTTCCAGCACTTTTCCCATCACAGATGTGCCATTTAACTTTTCAACACAAGCCTTAGCGGCTTTAGTAGTTTCAAAAACTACTTTGGCTATGCCCAAATGTTTGTTTGTCATTGGATGATAATATATAGTTAATTCTTCGGTAGGGCCAAACTTATGCACCATATCACAGAGAAAAGTTTTGTCAATGTTATCATTCAATTGGCAAAATGTAACTTCTATAGGTGGTGGATCACCAACATACTGGGCATCTATTTTAAATCTAGGCACTGGTAAATCCAACACTTCCATACGAGTCCATATTCTTATTATGGGAGATCTTGGATCCCTTACCTGTACAGGTGGTTGCGTTGGATCACCAGGTACTATGCCATCATATCTATACACTTTTGTTGCACCCTTTGTTATCGCAGGGTCCACAAGTAATTTATAATTTTTAGTCTTTTGTGGGATAGGAGTCTGTGGTGGTCCAGATCCAGGGTCTTTCTGTGCTTGAACTTGCTGTTGGGACAGTGGTTTGGAGACATGATCTGAAGTTGGAGGTGGTGGTGGTCCATGATTGTGTTTAGCCACCAACTGCTGCGATGACTGATGCTGTTGTCTAAGTGAGTGTTGATGTTGTGGATGATCTTGTTGATGGTGGTGATGATGTGGTTGAGAATGAGAACTATGTTGTATATCTCTTGGATGATGGACATCTCTCTGAGAATGAATATCTCGTTGGGTGTGAATTTCTCTTTGAGAATGGATATCTCGCTGGGGGTGCAATTCTCTCTGAGAGTGTAATTCTCTTTGAGAATGTAATTCCCTTTGAGAGTGTATTTCTCTCTGTGGGTGTATTTCTCTCTGTGGATGTATTTCTCTCTGTGAGGAGTGAATTTCTCTCTGTGAGGAGTGAATTTCTCTCTGAGAGGAGTGAATTTCTCTCTGCGAGGAGTGAATTTCTCTCTGTGAGTGTATTTCTCTCTGTGGGTGTATCTCCCTTGGAGGATGGATTTCCCTTTGAGATGTCGGTTCTCTGTGATGGTGGTGATGTATGGAATTGTGATATTCTCTGGAACTGGAGCGCTCATGATGACGATAATAGTAATCATCATTGGGCTGCAATCTTCCAGCGTCTCTGCCACTGTCTCTAACACTGTCTCTTCCGCTATCTCTTCCACTATCTCTTCCACTATCTCTGCCACTTTCTCTTCCACTGTCCCTTCGCTCGACGGTGCTCTCGCGACTAGAGTCTCTATGATGATAGGAATGATAGTGTTGTTGATGATACGAAGGTGGATGATGTCCCGAGGACCGATGATTGTGGTGCGAACGGTGATGATGATGCGACGACGAGGACGATGAAGAGGATTCGTAACCATGGCCACGTCTCTCCATACCGTTCATTGTCAGGATTCATCATCCGCAATTACAAGACCGAGTTTTCTCACGGAGATTAATCCTTAATCGTGCATGCGAGCTGTCTTGTCTTGTATCACAACCGCCTCGGACTTTGTTGATTTGCGATCGTTAACTACCCCCAATCACCGGGTCTGTCGTTGTTTTGTCGGTAACAGTCGCTGCTCCTCGATGCAATGGCATTTGTAGCCGTTTGCGGGTGCCTCGGGGATGCGGCCGTTATCTGCGAAAAAAAAACAAACCAATTCCTGTATTGCAATGCACTCACACGGGTCTCTCTGTTATTTTGATTTCGAGCCGAGCGAACGAGGCGAAACAAGTTTCAAAGCTAATCGAGGTCTAACCTAAAAAGTGACGCTTCTGCAAGAGCGTATACGGTCGGACAATTGTGCACGCACTGCTCCGCGAGACAGCAGGGAGAATCGTCCGCTCCCTCTTCTCGCTAAAACGACGTCTACTGGGAAAGGTGTCGCGAACGGCTTCCCCGAATTCCTCGAGAGCTCTCACAGCCAAGACTCGGCTTGCTCGCGGGCCCGCAGTCGAAGGCGAAATTTTCCCATTTAGCCCTCTCGAGGCTCGTCGAACTGTCCACCTTTTGACTACTGGTAAGTGTGTTTTTATGAAAAATGCGCTAGCGAGTTTACTCTCGTGCACAAGTATATATATTGTGCGCTATATATATAGACAATATATATATCTATAAGTATATACTGAAAGGTCGCGAGAGTGTGTACGTCCCGACTATTGCAGCGCGCGACTATGACTATATTGCATACACAAAGCACGCACACCTTTATACAGGGTGTAGCGTCGGTGTGAGCATACAGTATACACTCGAGCCCGTGTGCGCACGCTATATTTTCTTCCGCGCGACTCCAAAAAAGCCACTTCTGTAATTCTCGGTTCCGACAGCAGCAGCAGCAGCAGCCGCACGCACGCGGTTTTCGGGCGATCGCGGAGCAACTGAGATTTTACGAGAGCTGCTTACTTTGCCCTATATCCAGGCGCAGGACCCGTTCAGAAGCGCCAATCTTGTATTGTTTTTGGTTCTGCATTTTTCTGTCACAAATGCAAATTTTGAGATATTCATTCATCGAGATAAGTTGGTGCATCGTTACCTGTAGTACAACACAATTTTTGCATTCAGACCCGTGTGGCATGCGATAGCTGTGCTGTCCATTGGCGTATACAGCTGAGAAGTAGTGCATAATGTATGATATAGTACGTTCAATTTTATCGACTTATTGTGGGAAAGGACAGTTTGATGTTTGTTAATTGTTTTCCAAAAATATAAATTCGGTTCTTCTTTTTATGTCATAAGGAATAAATAAAGCGATTAAAATTATTCAGCAACAAAATTGTTATATTTTTTTTTCATTATAATTATTTACACATGATTCAAACAATTGGTCTTCTGTTGTTGATATAAAACACCAGACGCTTTACGTTATACTTTATCTTATTGAATTAATTTTGAAAATCTGGTATAAAATTATTTTCGTTTAAAACTATATGGATAATTTTAATGAAACGCGTTCATATCATGCCGTGTCTAAAAAATAATTGTATTTTTACATTACAATGACTCAAGTTTGGAACGATGTAACAACCGAACTCGAGCGCTTTTTTCCCCCCATAATTCAAGCCTCGCTACCGCTACCAGCGTCGCTTCCCGACGCCGGCGACGCCGATCTCGATCTCGAGCCCGAACGAGAACTCGAACGGCTGGAGCCGGATTTCTGTGATCTTGCGGGAGATCCCGATCCAGATCTCGCGCTGCGAGAACCAGATCTTGAACGCGATCCCGACTTTGACCTCGACCTCGATCTGGATCTGGACCTGGAACCAGAACCCGAACGCGAACCCGAGCCCGACCGCGAGCCGGACCCCGAGCGTGAGCCGGAATTCGATCGGCTACGATTCGAGGCCGCCTGAGACACTGATCTTGAACGCGATCTGGACCGATGACTCGAAGCTCTCGAGCCAGTTTCTTCTTCATTCTCGTCTCGTTCCTCGTTCTCTTCAGCTTCGTCTCCTTTGTCGTTGTCTTTGTCATTTTTGTCTTCTTCGTCTGAAGCTTCTACAATTACAATTTTTCAGTAAGTAACAAATATTGATAAACGTATGATAAAAAACTAATATGTGAATCAAATAACAAACCTTTATCTTGTGTCTTGTCACTCTTCCTTTGAGTTTCCAACTCTTCTTCTTCTTCTTCCTCTTCTTCCTCTTCATCTTCATCGCAAGGAGGTTCTAGTTGTTTTTCACGGAATCGTTGCATACGGAATTCTGGGGCATTAAGTGGACGGTGTTTAACAACTAACCTAGTATTGTTGACAGGTTGACCAATCTTTTGTCTGCGTTTGTTGAGTCTTACTCGAGTTTCCAATTCGTTATAATATACCTATGGGCAAAAATTAATAAGTGAAATTTGAAATAAATTTACATTAGTTGATAATTAATAGTGCAAGGATCGAATCTTACCCCGTCATCGCGCACAACAAGGAAATAGTTTTCTTCGTAACCTTTGGATGCTTTACTTTTGACGTTCCAATTATATTCTCTGGCCATTTTGTAATCATATTCTTCTTCTTCTGCATACTCTAAATTGTTGATGAAATCTCGTTTCCTCTTTTCCAGAGTGTCTTCTGTAGGTAAGAAGTAGGCAACGAATTGCTCGCCGCTTTCATCCATCACACCTCTATAAATTGAATCAATATTTCAATTATTTTTTTTTGCTACAAATCAGAGTAGAAATTTAATAAAATTTAAAACTTGCCGAATCATAGCTTGAGACATTTCCTCTATTTGAGCAGGAACAGAGAGTCCTTGAGGAGCTGGATCCGAGTCAAATATAACTTGAGCACAGGGATATTTCCATAGCTAAAATCAATTAATAAATTAAATTTTAAATAACCTATATATATCATTTAGTGAATAAAGTTTTAAATTTTCAAACCTTGAAATCAGGAAATACAGGGAATATTTCCACAGGTGTAACATTTGGTTTGTTATAATGTTTTTCAATAGGTTTCTTGTTATCCGAAAATGTTTTTTCAATGGCTCGAATTTGAGACTCACGATCCATGTATAATGTATCTTCCTAAATTGATATAAATTCATGATTATTGAATGAATCTTGGTAATTTGATTGTTTCCAGAAAATTACAATCAAATTTACCTTAAGATGTTTCTTAATATTGTGTCCCACTTTAGCTTCAACCTTGTCAGAGGTAGTCTGAGGTTGAAATCTAGTTTGCTCAGTAGAAATATACTCTGTACGTTTCAGCCACGATACACTTCTGGCGTGATCCCTAGAGCGTTTGGAAACCTGTTGGGTCATAACATCTTCTTCCAGTAACTTTTCATCAGCTGGATCAAGCTGAGCATTTGGATCACATGCATAGATGTCCTTGTCAATTAAATCAATTTCAACTCCCAAGTCGTGCTCGGTCAGATTTTCATATTTGTAAGATCTTTCTAAAGAAGTTGGATTATACTGCATAAATCTTGTTGCTAAGAATGGATATGTGATATACTTGGTATCCATAGCGATGTCTGGTAAAGTGTTACAAAATTTGACCTTCGAAATAAGATCAAGTCTGAAAGAAGAAGATGAAAATTAGCATCATGATTGAGTCAAAGCAACAAAACTTTTTAAATGTTAAAAACTTACTTTTTTTCGGCGGTCCTCGAGGAAGCACCCCTCTTGTCGGCGGTACCATTTTGAATGGTTGGCGGCATTTTTGCGTTAATAAATAAAATCCAATTTGTGTTCAACCGCGTTAAAAATCAACGGGTCAAACAAATATGAAGCTGACTTTCAAACGACAACAATGATTATAACCTCAAAAGATAACGTTGACAGCCGCCGCGACTTGGAGCAGCTCTGGGTAAATGACTAGTTTAAGGCTTTGACTACAACTGCGTAGGTGTCTCGCCGCACTCCGCATACTCAAGTTTAATGACAATCGAAAGTCGAAAATCGAAACTGTATATGATAAAATTATAGTATAATAAGTGTGAGCAGTAATAAAGAAGGTGCGAACATTGAGGATATATAATATCCTTGGCAAAAAGCTTTTGAGCATTATTTTTTTTTCTCAAATTTCAAAAAGCAAAAAATTTATTATTTTGTTTTCTTTTTTATAAAATTGTTCATTCATGAATAATAAATCCATGTAACTTTTTTGTTCATATTTTGTCTACGAGTTTTAAGAGAATGCAATTATTTTTCTTGTGACAGGCAACTTTCGAACGACAAACTTCGAGCGTGCGCACTAGGCACGATTGTAGACACGAACTCGAAACTAAGACGTCTGCTGCGACGTGAAGCAGTGTTTGGGCATCTTTGCGTAAAAAAGAGAATAATTTGTTCAACCGCTAGACAAGCAGAAACTGATCAACATGTTATTCAATTTTTTCTCGTCCTTCATGGAGCGACTGGCACCAGTTGTCAAAGCCGAGGAGGAGGAAGAGGCTGAGCTGGTCGACCCGCAGAAAATCTTGCGCGTAAGTGTTATTATGTCCCACGAACGAACGAGCTCTCTCCGACATTACGTAACTTTATTTCAACTTTTAAGCGTGAAAATTGTATCTAAAAATGTTTACCCACACGCCCGACACCGTAGCGGAAGCGTGTTGCATCGTTATCGCGCTTAGCCGTCGACCGTCGATGTAACCCGTTCGGACGAGCGTAACCTTGCGAAAAATCAATGACAAGCCCCGTATAGGTTATAGCCAGTGTGCAGCAGAGGCACTAACGATTGCGATATTTTGTGTGTGTGTTACAGGAAAAGTGCCAGGCGACGTCCAAGTGCGTAGCTCTGCAGGACAAGCTGAACACGTGCAACGACCGCGTCAATTCGCGCACCAAGACGGAGGAGACCTGCCTCGAGGAGGTCATCGATTTCGTCAGCTGCGTCGACCACTGTGCTGCTAAGACACTCTTCCATCATCTCAAGTAACTGGTTGCTCACGAATGATGTGTAAAATTTATTAAAATTAAATTCTATTATTAGTTAAAAAAAAAACTCTTTACTATTTTTGTTGTTTTGAACCTTTATGTATATAAACAAAGACAAAAAAAATAGGCACTCTGAGTCATTATAGAGATAAAAATTGAAAGTCCAGACTTGGTTGTAAACCTGATATACTCAATGAGTAATGAGTGAGCCATGTTCATCGGTGCTTTCAGTCAATAATCATGATAGAAGAAGTTAATAAAGATATGTTGAACCAATCATAACTTTTTATAATTATGTTGTGAAACCCAGCAATGATTAGCATCGTCTGTCGCGCACTAATCAAAAGAGTATTGCATCGTCAAAGAAAAAGTTTCAAGGGATGGGAATAGTAAATATTTTTTAATCAAAACATCAGGTGAATATATGTTTAAATTTGTTTTATTGATATTTAGTGCTTACCGAATATAAGATATGGATAATTTTATTTACATTGATTTTTCACAAACTCACTTCCTAACGCAGTGAGAAAAGAATACGTTATTTTCTTCAGGTCGGTAAAACATTTTTAACAATATAGATAATTCTCTATCTATTGTGTATAACGGTGCAGTTGAAACAGAGCGTAATACTTGAAATATGCATACAAGAACGTCTTTGGTCATAAAAATTTTTTGCTTTTCATCGTTTAATAAAGTAAGACAATATCATTACTTTTAAAATCTACAAAACACGGAATAACATTGGAAATATCATCAATCTTATACATGTAAATACAAGTACCAAACGATCACATTATATGTAATTATTCAAAGTAACTGTCTCGATAACATGCATTGACAATGAAGTCGCGAAAGGTGTGTAGCTCCAAAATTATCATTCCTCGCGGTACTTTTGCACTGCACCTCCTCTCGCGCGCATTCTCGGCGCGTCTCAAAGCTATTACTATTTGCCACAACGACTTTTATAAAAATAACGATAATAATAGTAATGAATGAATGAATGGACGTTCATTAAAAAGATTAATCTTTTTGTTGTTATCTCGGTCACATTTGTGTACGAGATAAGGGAATTATTCATCGAAATAATTAAATCGTTTCTTCGCGACGACGACGCGCCTATCGCGCGAAGATCGCGCGCTCCAACGAACAATATGATTCAATCAAAGTGCCATTTCCTTTTCCACTTGAATCAACATTGAAAGATTATACGAGTTAAACAAGTCGACGCGTTAAAATTTAATACATAATTGTACGAAAATCCGCTAAAATTTCGACGATCAAAGTATATTACACGCGTCCCCTCGCGCGCGCACGATGACGATTATACCATCATCTACGCTCGTTAAAGCAAATCTGCAGCAGCAAAATCATCGTCGTCATCGTCATCCTCGAATCGGCAACGATAAACTACGTGCGTCGCACGTGGCGGCGATGACGCTCTTTTTTTTTACTCTCGTATTATATTAAAAATTATTAAATATTAGAATTTATTATCTACACATCGATATCTACATTTTTTTTTTGCTCGCCCGGCAGAGATACATTCACTTCACGGCCAGGAACAACAACGATTCACTCTCGGTACAATCGTACACGTAAAGACGCGAATGTATATAATATAGACAATCGTGTTAGATCGACGCGCGCGCGACTATGCGACGATGAGTCAGAGAAGAGATCGTTATTGTACAACGCCAATCGGTCGACTCAGTACTCGGGATCGTCCTTGTGCTTCCTCCTGGGATCGTCGGCGCCGGCGAACGTGTAGACGTAGACGGGCGGCTTGTCGGTGGTCCTCTGTCGACCGTTGTTGTTGTTGTTGTAGCTGGCTCGCCGATCGTTGACGGCCACTCCGTACTGTCTGTTGTTCAAAGGCACCGAGGGACCTCCAACTTCACCAGCAGCAGCAGCTTGGGAAGAATCAGCCGAACCGAACCAGTGGCTGAACAGCTGCAGCTTGCGACAGGCGCATTGCTGCTGGTCGTAATAATAGCCGGTGCTGCACTCGCGCAGGTACTCCTGGCGGCAGTCGCAGCCGCACGTGGTCACGTTCCAGCGATGACGCTCGGCCCAGTCGCCGCGCTCGCACTTGTCCTCCTCGTCGCGATTCGCGCAGTAGCACATGCAGTCCTGCTTCGAGTAGACCTGCCGGTCGTTGCAGGCCTCGGGCCCGAAGCGGCACTCGCACTTGCACTCGAGATGCTGCTCGATCGGCACCAGCTCCTTCCAGGTCTCGGAGTGATCGCTGTCCGGGTAGCGTATGCCCAGTAGCTGCACGAACAGCGTCTCGGTCTTGATGGGCCGACAGGCGAGCTTCTGGAGCCAGCAGCAGCCGCCGCAGCGCTGCACCCTGATGCAGGGCGGCGAGAACATGACGTAGGGGTCGTGATAGGTGCCGTTGACCTCGGTCGTGCTCACCGTCTGGTTCTCGGGCTTGCAGTTGGCCATGCGCGGCCTGCTGATGATGTTGCCCGCCGAGCGCTGATGAATCGAGTTGCTGTCGCCGCCGTCCTCGTAATCGGACTTGCGCGGATCTTTAATGCCCAGGTAATTCAGCATCTCCTCCTCGGTCTGGAACGAGCTGACGAGCTCGAGCTCCTTCTCGGTCTTGATGATCTCGTCGAGGCCGTTGGCCCGGCAGCCCGCGAGCATCAGCGCGTTGCACAGGACCAACGAGGCGACGATCTTCGTCAATGTCGGCGACATCCTTCTGTTTCTTCTATTATGCACTTGTTGCGATTGGTTCCTCCGTGCGTATCCTGTATATATTTAAATACTCAATACAATTTGCACATCGCGAAAAAAGCACACGGATAAAATTATTATCGATTAAACACAACGATTTCACGTATATCAAAAAAAAAACTGTACTCGTACGTTACGCGACAGCGCGTGGGACACACCTGCCGAGTGACAACTACTATATAAGCGCGACGACGACTCGCGCTCGCAGATAGCTGAGGCGCCCGGCCACGACTTTCTGGTAGCGGCGGCGGCGAGTATATACGAGTCAAGTATATGTGTGTTATAGGCAGGCAGGCACTCAAAAACCCGACGGAGAGAGAGACAGAGAGGAAAAACCAAAGAGCGAAAAAGAGAGAGAATGCAGATAATTATATTGCGGCCTGCGCCGTTTCTCTCTCTCTCCCACGATTCCTCACCTGCGAGCCTGTGTAGTGCGTGTTTCTCTCGCATATATCGCTATATATAGATATATAATACTTACCGACTCTTAATACTACCTGCGCCGAGAGAGCCGTGTAAGTGTGTGTGTGGCTATGGATATATATGTATATAATGCTCAATTACAAAAGCGTCGCTGCGCTGCTGCTCTTTTAAGCCTGACAAAACGACGCACTATGTAGCTCTCTGCGAGTTGTCGCACGATGACGTGGGCCTCCGAGGCATGCGATTCTCTTTATATATTCGTTTTTTTTTTTTTACACAAACATTATTATAAATTTTAACACATCGATTCGATCGGGGCCGCCGATACTCACGACTCGTTGGTATAGGATATATTGCTTAGATTATGCGCGCGCGCACACAAACAAATTTGTTGTTAAATTTTTCGCGTGTGGGTATCGTATATTATGCACGTAGCTCACGATCTCGCGCGCGAGCGAGCTGAGTAGGAAAAAAAAATATGTTTATGTGTGCCGATCGAGCCACTCGACACGATTTGTTGTTTGTTTATTATTGCCTTTTATTATTGCGGGTGGGAAAAAAAATTAGGCTAACGCGATCGACGATTATATACCTTTTATTTGTTCATAACAATTGCGATCATCGATTCGTAATAGGCGTAAACATCGAGAGGGAGATAATGTTTAAGGTCGAGTGTTCTTCCGATATTATATTCGGAGTCGCGCGATTCCTGTCTCGACAGGCGTTGCAATTCCTGATCGTCCGTGAATGAGCAAGAGAGAGAGATATCGGTCAGTGTCGTATCGTTAATCGAATCGTGCCTCGCGGAGCTCATGCTGCTCCTCGAGCGAGAGAGCCAAATAAGATATATAAGTAGTAAGTAAGGTGAGAGGGGACGTGCGCGCAATACAATCGATTACTTAATAAGCCATCGCACCGATGCAGGATATTGTGCAGCGAGTCGAGCGAGTCGAGATTCCGTGCAATTGACGCGCGTATAATAATACGTACGATACGTATGCCGATCTTCCATTGAGCTCGCTCATGTACTTGTAACGAATGATTGATTGCGCACGTATTGTATAGGAGAGATACGATTGATTTTAATGCAATTCTCTCGGCGGTGGCGTTGCATTATTATTTCTTTTTTTTTTTTTTCCTCTTAATAAAAGCCGATTTTCAGGAAAGAACGAACAGTAGCGAGGTGTGTATTACTGGAACATTCTCATAATAATATCGTTATGCATACATTGTGTACACAAACGTTCGCTTTGTGATTTTCTCGAACACTTTCAAAGTATGCAATTTTTTTTTCCTTGTCACGAAGGAGCGCGATTTTCAATTTTTCGATGTATGCGTACGCGTCGTCGCGCAATCGTGCGACACGACGATCGAATCGACTATTATCGCACGTTTTTCAATAAAAATAGAAGGAATTAATATGTACGAGTTTTAAAAAGTATATCGGTGTGCTCGCTGGCGCACGTTCTGAGAATTTCCGATGCGTCAAACACCGACTACGACGACGACGACGACTTGGGAATCTCTGAAACCGCATAGATAAGGAGATAGATGGAACCTTCGGGTGTACATAAATCGAGAAATAAATAACTGCGTTGTTTATAAGCTGTTTATAATTTATAATATAATTTTAGTTTTTTTTTCCATGGTATTTTCAACCACTTTTATCAATATTTACAAGCAAAAAATGTATCCATTAGTATGTGTTTTTTGATAAAAATGTCAGGCAATCTCTGCTGCTGCTGCTCGGCTGTGCACAAAATTACAAAATATAACATTTACTTATCACGTGCACACACACACAGGAAAATATATGACTATACAATATGATTTTTTTTTTTTAATATGTTTATAATTGTATCCTGGACCTGCTTATTGAATATAAATATATATAAACCTATATATATATATTTTTTTATCATGTACGTCGATACAAAGAAATGTGTCACTTTTGTTTGTCCTAGCAAAAAAGTTCACTTTTATCATATCATTTGAGCAAGAAACGAATTATAATCATTTACGAAAATCACTTATATTCAAAACAAAGTCCAAGATTTCTTGATTTTTAATATAATATAATATATATATTCAATTTAATATATATGACGACTCTGAGACTTAATTGAATGTGTGTTGTAACAATTATGAGCTTAATTTAATTTCTTATTCACTAAGAGTAATTAGGATAGAATGCTTAGCAAATTCTAAGTATAGACTATGATATTAGTGAGAATTGAAATTATGTAGAAACATAATATAAATTAATTAAATAACGATCTCACGGATCTTGTGCCATTCTCACTAAATAACTTAAAAAAATTGATTCGGGGGGCTACACACTACCATGAGAATGAACTTGAGATTTCACAGTCACTTTGGCACAATCTATCCAATCATTTAATAATTTAGAAATCACAATTGCTAAAATTAATATAATTTTTTGTAGGCCCAGTTAAAGTTTGCAAAAAGTACTTCATCACAAGTAATATAACCCAAACTCATTTTTACAAAATTAATTAGTATTTGTATCTGTGATGAAAGTAATTGATTTTTTCAAAAGAATCGTTAGATCACATTTTTACATACACACAGGTAATTTGTTATGTCAGGAAAAGCTCAATATGCAAAATTCAATTTTTGAAAATGCAGTCTCATTTTAAATTGAACTTTTTGATTTTAGGTAGTACACCACCTTCAAATTTTGTAAGTACAATTTTTGTCGTGCTATCGTAAATACGGACTCGTACGATGATTCATTTTTCTTATTAGATATAAAATGTAACATAAAATTCTGTGAGGAGCATAATTAAGTGTAAAAATCTTGATTTGCATAAAAATTTGAAGGTGAGCCACCATAATAAAATGGTTCAGCAAGAATTACAAATACAAAGTTGAAAAGTAGTGCTGATTGTAAAAAAAATTTAAAAGTTTCGTTGATCTAATGCAAGTTCCTAAAGTAATAAATTGTGAATTTTTGGTTCATTGATAAGACTTGCGCATGATTAAGACAAAAAATATTTTTCAAATCATCCCATGTCTCAAATGAAAGTTTGACCTACTACTATGTGTCAAAAACCAAAAGAAAATAACAAGGAAGCGATGAAAGGCATAAACCTCATCAGATTATCGTGTAATTAAAAGTATACGACAAACGTGACGGTGAATTGATTTCAAAGCGTGAAAATATACAAATTAAGAAAATATCCAATTCAAAGTTCATTTCTAATATCACGTCCAATTCCAAATCATACTTATTGACTATCCACGAAACAATTGATTAATGCATACGCCAATGCGAGCCTTAATAGCTAAAAAATTTTCCTCTCTGTACTTTTCAAATACTTAAAAAGAAAATTTTGTAAATAATGTTATTTGATAAATCACATTTTGAAAAACTTCCCAACGATAATAAAAATGCCGTATTTTTCGGCAGAGATCACTCTTTTGTCTATCGAGTCTGACAAGCTGTACTACTCATTCATTTTTTGGTTTTGTACAGTAGTAGATTCATTCGATTTTTTACTTCATCAATCGAAAAAGTCAATTTTAACATTCAATTTCATCATTCAAATTACCAATTAGTTATGAACTAATAAATATCTTACACATTAATGATTTTGAGTGCGTCGTTCTCCCATTATATTCTCTAGCTTTCTTGCAACAAATGTAGCAGAAGGTGCAGATTTTTTGGAATTTGGCTCACCATCTGCTATCAAATTCGTTTCGGCATCATCAGTTAATAAGCGTTTACCGATGTACTTTCGAGCGTCAGCCTGGGTTACCATTTTGTTGATGGTTTCCAAGTCCTTGAAAGGTAATTTAAAATTCTACATGAATAAATAAAATATTTGTGAGAACAATTTTAATAATTAAAAAAATACCAACTTTTGCAGGACTCCTGTTGAAACAATAGTTCAGCGTAGGTGCTGGAGAAGCTGGAAGTTCTTTAGGGTCAAGAACACGGGTAATGATGCAGTCAGTCACTCGACGCACTGGAGAACTTTGCGGAATTGGACGATTTTGTCGTGGCAATGGACTCAACGTGAGATTGGCAATGTTAGGGTCTGCCAAACCCAAGCGTTTAACGTAGTCTTTTACTTCCGGTACAAAGACTGCATTGTAGAATTTAATAAGATCACCACGTTCTTCTGAATTATAAATTCTGGATGTAGCAGCCATCTCTGAAGGCGTCGGTGGTCCACTATTTTCTTGGTGTTTATTATTAAGAGTTTCATCAGAAGTGCTTGAACTGTTCCGACTAACGCGCGTAATCAAAACTGATCTGTAGATATGTGATTCAGCTTGTGGTTGCAGCCTATAACATCTCATGATCTCAGTGAATGTATTTTTATCAATTTTACACAATTTGCAAATCACATAAACGGCAGACATTAAGATTTGATCCAAATGTCGGTCTTTCATGAGCTCAGTGCGCTCTTTGATCGTATGTTCGAATATCGTCCATATTTTGCGTTTGACATCGACATCGGTGATTTCAAGTGCATTGCACAATGTTTGCATTCGAGCATTTGTGAGATTGTAGAATTTTCTGAAAAATAGAGCCAACGAGCCAGTGCGCCTTGGTTTCGTTTGGTCTCGATTTAAAACAGGTGTACTTGTAACCGGCCCATTCCTCTGAGGTTCAGAATTAGCAACTCTAGCAAGAGGACCACTACCTTTCAATAAACTTTGATTCGCCGTTTTTTCGGAAAACAAACGCTTCTTTACTAAAGCACTTGGGTAGGTTGGGGATTGGAATCTATCCGAAGCAGATGAAATGGGACTCTGTGTTACATCGTTGGGAGCACCCCTATCCAAAGCGATTCTTCGAAGCACAGGTTGCCCAGGAGTGTTTGGATCTATTAAATCAAAAGTCCCTGGTAAAGCAACTTCTTCATAAGATGGCAATCCAATGAAATCATCATCTTTAGAAGTTCCTTTTTCTTTTGATTTCAAAGCATCTATCGCAGCCCACAAAGGACTCGGTGTTTTCCAGGCTAGGGATTCCAAAATCATTTCCTCAATGCGATTCAAATGCTTTACCATGTCACGAGTGAGTTGGTCAACAGCTTTGACAATGACTTCAATTACTTTGTAAAATAAATATGCTTCAAGATTAAGTGCTTTAAGAATCCAAGGGAATGTCTTGTCTCTGTTCTGATACGAGTGAATCACAATTTCACAGCAGCAAGCAAACAGACATTGAAGGAATATCTCATTCTTTAGTAAATTCTATGGAAAGTAAGAAAATTAATTAATAATTTACAATTCAAGTTTTTTTAAATATTATTATGATAAAAATGATACTTACAGAAACATCAGAAGTTTGCTTTTTCGACATTTCATCATTTAATACTAATTCAAGAACTTTATAGAACAAAATTTGTGCTGATTGTAGACGTTTTTTACCAAAATCTGAACAAGTGTTCTCAGCTTGTTCAGGCAACTTGGAAGAATAAGCTTCGCAGAACATATTTCCAAATTCTTCAACTTTAGCCTTTACGAAAATCTCAATATCAGGAGAACTATTCTTAAAAATTTCTTGCAAAGATTCTGAAGGCAAAGGATTACAACCAACTAACAAAGATTGTAAGCGAACAACACTTTGGGTTGGATTGGGTAAGGCAGTGTTGGCTACATCTTTCGTTTTTAAATACTTTCTCCCTGTCAAAGGAGTTGGCGGTGCCCAAGTCTGGAGCTGTGAAAGCAAAAAAAATTACATGAGTCTTAAATTTTTGATTTTTTCAAATTAAAAAAATTCCAAAGGAAATAATATTCTTACAGAGTTGAGTTGTTCCTTCTTTGATTGGAACTGCTCCTGGAAATCGGACATGTTCATCATTTTGGCTGGGGTTGAGCCTATATTACTGTTGGAGTCCGGACCTGAAACGACGAAAACGTCAATAATTCCATCGTGTCGAACACCGTATCAGTCATATTCCGATGTGTTTCGTATGTATTTCGAAATAAAATATAATTTTCGTTCATTTTCGTTCGAATGATTCGGGGTCTGATTTTGAGGAAGCTCCGTCAGCTGTATATGGAGTCGCCGATCGTGTATATAAGGGCTTTGTGTATAATAGGGAAACACCCGCCGCATATGCGCTTGCTTCGATCGCAAAGTGTTGATATTTCAGTGCAGTATTGGGGGTTTGCGCGGGACTATATAAACGGAGCAGCTTCCGAGTTTCACGCGGCGTACAGTGTACAGCGCGGTACTTAACGTTTCGTATATTTATTTTAACTTTCACGAATGCGCGGCATCTTCCGTAATGCCATTAACAATTTCACGCTGTATATACGCGATACGGAGAGAAAAAAAAGAGGGAGTTGAAACGATGACGCAGGGGTGAGGAGACGCCGGTCCCTTTAAAAACGCGGAGTCGAGTTTTATACGAGAGAGAATTTTTAAATGTCTCAGCTGTTATAAGCGTGCGAACGTGACCGAAAGAGAGAGAGAGAGAAAAAGCGATCCTATGAACGATGATCACAATGGTATAACGAGTTTTGGTGGGGGAGGAGGGGTTGTCTGTAGGTACGAGAAAAAGGCAGCTGCTGCGCGCGTGTAACGAATTTTTTTCGTGAGTAATAAATTCAATAAGGGAATTAAAACATTGTTTGAACGGCGTTTCTTTAAATGAAATTTTTTTAAAGGATTTGTGTAATTTGGACTAAATATGAACCATGCATGAATTTAAGTTTGTTCAATTCGACATTAAAAAATATTTAACTTATATCTATAATGATTTATTACTAAAAAAGACAATATTTTTAAAAATGAACTATTTTTAAGCAAGGACCCACCTTTTAGTAATGCACACCAAGCTACATCTCCATGAAATATTTCTTTTTGTGAATTACCTTCTATTCTTGCTCTTCTCCACTCAGCTAAATGTCAAAATAATATTGCAGGTACGGTTATAAGCAAAACAAGAGGTTGTGCGTTGGTTGAAAATGTACAAAGCCAGCAGGGTACACATAAACAAAAAAAAAAACAAAAAAAAATCATGTAGTTGAGTGTAAAAAAACAAAGGAATGTTAGTCATAGTTCTAGGTTACTCATTTGTTCTTTAAGAAACATTTTTACAAAATTGGTTATTGGTTTGTTACTAGTTGAGGCAAAGTTATCAAGTAATTCTGTATAAAATAACCAAAAAATAACCAATAAATTGTATTCTACTATGAGTTAACTAAACTGATACAAAAGTGGACTTCTTATGAAGAGTAGAAGTAGTAGTGTTGAATAGAAAAATAACTTACCAAGAAATATTCTTTCATCCAGATCACCGACACTGAGAATGTGCTGTTCATAGATTCTATTAACAGATTTGTTATTTCCATCAAAATTCAATGCATCCAATAATCCGGTGAAATCGGTCTGATTTCCTCTTAGAACTTTTGAATTAAAAAGTTCATTCATTTGAATTTTAAAATAATATGTCTTTATAAGCTTTGCTTCAGTGGAAAATTGTTGGTTATCACATAACAGGTCAATAATGCAATTGGCACTTTCTGGTAGTGTAAAATCTGGTGCATTAAACTTTTCAGGCAATCCTAGTATACAAATTAATTTTAATAGCTATAAATATTTGAATCATAAAAATAAAGGTTCATAGGACAAAAATTTAGTACAAACCTTCAAATTCAGAGTTTAATAAGTCTCTTCTGTTGGCCATCAATGCGTTCATATACAACAGATCACAGCAAACCAATAATAGATGATAAGAATTGACCAAATCATCAGATATTATAGCTAGTTTACTTTTAATACAAATGAAAAGTGACCATCCAAATTCGAATAAGCGCGAAGGTGTACAAGGTAGAGTCCTGTGTCTTCTAGATCTGACTGGTTTACCTAATTCCTCAGAAGGATCTTTAAAAATATTTTTAAATATTGGCTGATACTTCTGGAAAATCACAGATGATACAGAAAAGTTCTTCTGTAAAGAATCAATTCTTGCTCCAAAATCTTGAGGCATGTGGCACATATCGGCCCACGCTTTGCTCTTAGTAAAGAACTCGGTAAGAGGAAGATTACACAGTCTTAGTAATCTTGTTAAGGACACACAATTGCCCTGTATATTGGAGCCAGCCTTTCCAACAGTTGGAGTACTAGCTTTCCTACAAGCTACATATAAGGCACACCCAATCCAGTGCAGCTGGTCACCCTGATAAACATAATAAACAAACCAGCTTGATCACTCCCAATTCATTTGTGTAATAATAACAAAGCAGCACACTTGCAAAACAATGTAAAAAACAACAACAACAACAACAACAACTCACCCCAAGAGTATAGTGCTGCCTGATATTTTCATACGACTCCCAAGCCTCCTTGGCAGCAGAAGCATCCATGTTGAGCTTCTCGCAGAGATCCTGATGCTTGGTGAAGGTAGAGTCCTCATTATCGTCGGGCTTGCCCATCTTGATGGCTTTATTTCAACTACGAACGCTGCAGCGTCGCCGTCGTCGTCGTCGTCTCTTTAATAACTGTACAATACAGACGATTCACGAGAGCACTCGTTCTTGCAATATCAATCACCGCACTCTGTCTCTTCTCAATATAACGCAAAACAACAACAACAAAAAATACAATAACACACTCGTAGTAAAAAAATCGACACCGGTGGCCTCTCGGTCGCTGCTGCTGCTGCTGCTCCCGGTAACAAGCATCAATTCGCTCGTTCGACTTGTAGTACCTGCTCACTCGCGCGAAGGAGGTGCCGCGATTCGAACGCGGGGCGGCCCTCGAGAGATTTTTTTTTTTAACGAAAAAAAGGAAAAAAATAATAATGATTGCGAGACACGATGATCGCGCGTCGCGAGATGCGTGCGTTCTACCCCCTTATTTCGAGCTGAGGTTCTCGTATTCGTCGTATATACGAGCCCCGTATGATACAACCAACGCGCGCCTCCACGATGCTTCGCTATATATCGCTTGTACTTGTACTGCTACTACTACTACTATTACTACTATTTCGGGGGCACAGTGCGTGTGTGTGTGTATTGTGCCTCTAAGCGCCGAACCCGTACTCGGCAAGCGTACAAGTCGGACTGAGAAAACCTACGCACACCGACACACAACAGACGACGAAAACGGCGCGGTGGCGGTGACGGCAGCGGCGGCATTACCTTCCATATACACATACACAAGCGCATGCACAGTGCCGCTGTCGGAGTCGTGTACGTGTGCGCATGTGTGGCGTGCGTGTGACTCCAAAGAGAAAAAAGGAGCGCGCGCGCGCGCTCGCGTCAGTCGTCGCCGCGCTGCGCTATTTACTCCGGTTTTTAGGCGGGAAAACTATACAGGCGAGAGACGTACGTGGCCATCTTACGGCGGCGGCGGCGTCGCGCGCCCCTGATCGCGGCGACATCTGCCACTGTGCACGGCGGTGGACCGGCTCAACCAGAGTCGCGGAGGTCTCGATGCAACTTGTGGAATCGGCCGCTCAGCCCGATGGACGCACTGGTGCGGGTGCGTTGCATGTCGGAGTGTGCTTCGCGCCGAGCTTTGGCGCGCTTTCGGCCGCCTCCGATTATATCTGCGCGCGGTATGGCCAATTCGCGCCCCGCGAATACACGGCCTCGCTCACCTGAGAGTCGCATATAGGTACATAAATCGGAGCAGTTTTCCGGTCGCGCGCTCGATGACGCTACGTTTTGCGCGATTCCATGGGTTTTTTTATCATCTATTCCTTGAAAAAGCGTCCATGGCATCGCGTGGCTCGCCGCAGGCCAAAAAACCCGCGTAGTCGGCGCGCTACACAAAGGAATTAGAAACCACGCCGCGGGAGTATTAGGCGGGCGCGCGTTTGGCGGGCCACCGCGGTGGTGGCGGCGGCATCGCGGGGCATTTCCCGCCTTGTGGGCCCACGACACTGCCATTGGTCGATGCCTCGTGCATGTGTGTAGGTGGATTGTGGCGCGAGTACACACACACACACACACATGTGCGATGTGCGAGAGTGAGAGAGAATTGTTTTTTGTCGTCGGGCTCACACGTGCGCTCGTGTGCGTTCGCCTTATATACTGTGCGTGTGAGAGCGAGGAGAAGGAGAGAAAGAGATTGAAAAGATGCCCGCGTCATCGTGTTGTGCTGTGTACTGTATGTATCGATGCCTTTTTATCGAGCGTCGAAAGAGAAAAGAGAAAGAAACGTATATACGTTCGACGAACGACGCCTCTATGAAGAAAACACGTTCGCGTTGTGTATACATACACAAACACGTGGGGAGAGAGAGAGATATATAAGCGAGACAGACTCAAACACGAAATCTTCGTCTTTTTTATTATGACGACAGAAAGAGAGAGATGTCTTAGATGTGCGCATTGTATACGAGCCGTGAGAAATAAACACATTATCGCCGGTATTATAATACTTGCACACTGCCTTCTGTCTTATGACGCCTTGGTGCGAGCTCGTAACACTTCGACAAAACCGAATTCGATCCCCGTATATCGAAATCGATCGATAAAAACAAGTGTTTACGATCACACTCAGGCAAGCATAATCGGCTTGTGTGTAGAGCGTGTACATCGACGCTCGTAAATGTACACAGAGTCGTTTTTCCATTTTGGAGTGTATATTACGGAGTAATACGAGCCCACCGGGCCGAAAATCAAACCATATACTTGGATAATTAAATCAGCGTTGATTGAGAGCATCACGCATATGTATACATACACACACACACACGCGCGCGCGCGTCTCTCCGCAGACAGAAGCTCTTGAGATGTTACGAAGCATAATGATGAACTTTCATCGGAGTCGAGTCGCTCGAAGAGTGAAACGTCGCAGAGTTGTATGCGTGTGTATATAGCCGCTGCGACACAGATGCGGCTTGGCTCGCCTATATAGCTCTCGTATTCCATACCATGATACGTAACTTCGGAGCTGATTCACTTCATGCGGGTCCATCGAAGCAATTTGTGAACTTCAATTCTTGTATATGCTTACTTCGCCTCGATAAGAGCCCGGGGCGAGCCATGAGAGAAAGAGAGAGAGAGACGAAGACCCACCGAACTTCCTTTCACTAAATATAGAAGTCGAAAAAGGCGGTATATTTAGCGTTACTCATCCCGCGCGCGCGACGTGTATTGCATTCGTATACATATTTTAAACGCCGCTGTGGCGAAGTTTTGCTTCGGGCAAAAGAAGAGAAAATAAATAAAATGAGATCTTCGACTTCGATTCGGATAGATAAGTGGACCGATTGTTTGTACTGCGCGTATTCGAACGAATTCAGGAAAAAAAAAATATCCGTACCGAGAGACCGTTCGGGTTTCGCTTAAAAACGTTCGTTCGAAAGAAAATATCCATTAGAATTGAAGTTTTGAGCGACTCGAGTTCATTATACATTTAAAAATCCGTAGACACTTCGAAAAGTATAGCTCCGATTCAAAAACCGAGAAGACACGTGCAACTCATAATGTAATTCGACGAACATAACTGCTCTTTAACCGACGGACAGCTGAATACATGGCAGCCTACACAAAAAAAATGTAGTAGCCTGTAATGTAGTGGCCATCGCTGCTTTCAAGCATCGTCACAGGTGAGAGGACGTACGACGCAACAGCTGATACACAACACGCTGTTCGGTACACCTATTCAAAGTGCTCCCGGCTTATACTCGGAAAAAAGCGTGTTGCGAGCCGTTCCAGGAATTTTGAGAATGTACCATGATAAAGTCACGCCGTCGTCGTTTTGGGCAACGCGAAGTTGCGATACACGAACTTCGAAACCCGGTATTATTCGGTTTTTTTTTTTAATAGAAATGAAGTCGATGTATTTTTTTTTCTCCTAAGAAACGTTAGAATTGCGACTTGAAAAAGGAGTACATACGGCACTGTGCCAAGAGAGAGAGAGACAGATAGCGTAACTATTTTGAAGCTAAGGTGTTGTTGACTCCGAATCGCTTATCGCAGCCAATGCAAACAATCGATGTTAACTTTTACTTGAATCAAGAGATATTGTTGTAAGATTGTCGAATGTTTCGATATGCTGTTTGCAAATACATTATTTAGCAATTTGTGGATATGATTTTTCACGAGTTACCTCGTTAAATGATGTAAATTGTATGCTCTAGACTCTAATTTTAGTTTCTGAGCATTAATTATTCGAACATTTTTTAAATACGATGTACTTTTTTCACTACGATAAATTTTATTAATTTTTTCAAAATTCAAATAAGCCGCGCGTAGAGCACAGCCGTGCGCAGTGAGTCGACATCTAGCAGACTTCAATTTATAACAGAGTTAGAAAACCGGTCTGCTATATGTTTGCAAGTTGTAAGTTACAACGACTTGACATTGTTTATTTATTAGAAAACGATGAACGTAGTGCTTGTCACGCAAATATGTATATAGACGTATAAAAAGTTGTTGAGCCTCTGATTTTATTTGTCTTTCTGCATTGCACGTGCGCACGCCATGCGTATTTGTCAAAATTGTAATTTGTGTACAAAATAGTGCATGATAAACCGAGCAATAATATACAGCGATTATTCATTGTATTAAGTTCATGATGTTTTGATATGTGTTAAAGAAAAATAATTTCATAAAATTACTCAAAATGTCTTCTGTATTAGCTCGCACTCACTGGTAAAATAACCACACTTTATTTTTGATAACCATTAATTGCATTGACTAGATAAACAATCATAATTCTTGGTTTTATACTTCACATTGCAGCTTGGTGAATCAAAAAATGCAGCTCAGATCCATATGCACTTCAGTTTTTAAGTGCAAGCAATTCAATGCACAATTTGGAAAAGCCATGGCAAAAGTTATGACTTTTGATATAACCAAAAAGCAAGTAAAAACTTGAGTTTATTATAAGTATATAAAAAACGTATAAAAATAAACTGTTTCGTTTCAATATTCTTACAGAACTCGCTTGAAAATTGGAGAGAAACCAACTCCATACGTAAAAATTGCCTCTGGGACTGCGATAGGAAAAAATCCAAGCGTTACTCTACAAAAAAGAAGAGTCACAGTTCTTAATAAAATATTTATGAGTCACATTTGTGAATTAATGGCAACTGGCACAGTAGCTGAACAATTGCTTGGGCGAGGAATAGAAATTACTCATGTTAAAGTTGCTCCAGATTTTAGAGTTGTTAATGTTTTTTGGCATGCGAAAAAAAACTCAAATGTGAATGAATCAACCGAAAAACTTCTCCAAACGGCAGCTGGTCATTTGCAGCATGAGTTAACTCAGTTGAGAGTAATTGGCATTGTACCACCCATCAATTTTGTTAGAAATAGATACATTGGAGCAACTGCAGAGGTAGAAGAACGACTGGCTGAAGTTGATTTTGGAGAAGAGTTTGTTCCAAACGCTCATCTTTCTAAAAACAAAAGTCCAATTCTTGAAACAACTCTTGAACCAGAAATAAAAGCCAAATTGGCAGAAGTAGATAGATCAACAATTGATCCAGAAGATGAGTCATTGTATGACATTCAAATACCAGAAATGCAACATTGTGTTATGGGATTTAATCATGAAACTATAATGAAAAAGGTATTTACATCTCTTGATTTTTTATTGATGCAAATATTAATTTTATTAAAAATATTTTATTTTCCAACAGCTGAAAATTTCATTGAATAAAGCAAAATTAGCAAGAGAGAGGCAATCATTAGAAGAAACAAATGAAAATACAGAATCTGAATCTAATCAACTAAGCGCAGACGCCTTACCAACGATGATAAATCTATTAACTAGATCAGAAGAAAATCAGTTGTTTGATAATTTTTTGAAACAGCGTGCCTCACAAGAAAGACGCAAAAACCGTGCAAATAGGATCGAACTAAAATTGGAAGAGGAAAAAGAAAGGATGTTAAGAGCATCTGAACAATATAGTACTTCTGATGAAGTGGATTATGAAGAAGAGTATAGAGACGAGTATGAAGACATAGAAAATGCCAAATAAAATTTTACTAGATAGTCATTCAAGTGTAAATAATATTGTTAAGTTGCGAAAAGAATAAAAATAATTTAAAAACATAAATTTTAACTTCATCTAGAAATAGAATATTTCAAGTCACTGATAACAAATTCAAGCAATACCTGAATTTTTTTTAAATTATTTTCTTTACGCATAGATCATTTTCATTTGAATAAAATGTCTTTTATTCAATCTGGAAGTATGGTTATAAAGTTTTAATCGTAGAATGAACATGAATTCAACGAAACATAGAGTTCACCAAAACTATATATCACGACTATAAACTCGATGTAAATGCACATAATACATAAAAATTCATGTCAACAGTATCTGCATAGTCAAGTTTCAACTCAACTCTGGAATGATTTATTTTCGCACAAGTGCAATCTTTTCTACACTTATAGATAAAATGTTTCTCATATACTATAAAATAGGTATAAAAATTCTCAATATAATATATAATGGTAAATAGTAAATTTAACGAGAAATTCAGTCAGCACCGATTTGAAGAACGTCGAAGCACACGGCGCAGACTCGCACCGGTTTGTTCTGGCCAAATTTGATGATGGGCACGTCTTGGCCCGAGCATTTGCTGCAGAGGACTCGACCGCAGTGGCGACTGTAAAGAATCAATTGTCAAAGATCGTTTCATCGGAATCTTTAAAAATAAAAGTATGAGCTCATCTTACCAGTGGTGTCTCCTCATGGTCAAGGAAAACTTGGTGCCGCACTCGAGGCACAGATCTTTCTCGGCCCACGGCGGTTCCTGGGTCAACGACTCCAACAGCCTGTGCAGCAGTTGCTTCGTCGCCACTTGATAATTGAATATCGTTATGCCGTCTTTGTTCATGTAGCCCAGCATCGCCCGGAATTTAACGAGGGTACGGCACAGATTGCCGTTGCCCTTCATGTAAGCGATGAGAAGCGGCGTGTTTCCATCGAGATCTACGAATATCGCAACCAAGGAAATCGTATTAATTTCACGTTTGACAAAAATTGTCATTCTAAGAGAACAGATGGGTATCTTACCGGCGTTATTGAGCGGATAATCGGGCATGCACTCGAAGAACAGCTCGCAAATGTTGGTGGCCGTGTTGTCGCGGCCGCAGCGAGCTAGCTCGTGCAGCGGATTGCGCCCCTTGAGATTGACGGCCTCGGCGTTCAGGGTGCACTCGGTGAGCAGAGCTCGGACCACCGAGACGTGGCCCTCGCGCACGGCCACGTGCAGTGCGTTGTCGCCGTCGGCGTTCACCGCGTCGAAGTTGATGTTGTTCTGCGATAAACGATCGTGAATTATATTATCAAAAAAAAACAAAAATAAAGTTGAAATCGTTTCTGTTTCGTCTTTTACCTGCAGCAAAGCGGACACGACGTTGGCGTGTCCGGCCTTGGAGGCGGCGTGCAGGGCCGTGTTCCTGTGCGCGTCCGTGTCGTTGATCATGGCGCCGGCGAGCAGCAGACTGCGCACCAGCACCTCGTTGCCGGTGACGGCGGCCAGACTGAGGGGCGGCGTGCCCGTCAGGTCCTGCACCTTGGAATTGACGTTGACGCGTATCGACAGCAGAAACAGGATGCTCTCCATGTCGTTCTTCTGTATGGCCGTGTGCAGGAAGTTGCGGCCCTTGTTGTCGAACTGCTCGGCGGCCGAGGGCAGCTTCTCGAGGATCGCCCGGGCGGCGCTGTTGTTGCGCATCACCAGGGCCGTGGCGAACGGCGACAGGCCCTTCTTGTCGCGCAGCGACAGATTGATGTTGGGATGGAACAGCAGCAGCGAGATGATCTGGTCGTTCTGGTTCTCGATGGCGAGATGCAGCGGGGTCTTGCCCTCGGCGTCGCGGCTATTCACGTTGGCGCCGTGCTCGATGAGGGTCTGGACGACCTGCTCGAGGCCCCACTGGCAGCACAGGTGCAGGGGCGTGCACTCGTCTCGGGCCTCCTCGCCGCCCTCCTCGCCGTTGGCGGGCGGCCGACGCGGCGAGTTGAGGTCGCAGCCGCTCTTGATCAGGAAGATGGCGTAGTCCTCGCAGTTCTCGTCGATGGCCTTGTGCAGGAGGGTCTGCTGGCAGCCGCCGTCGTGGCCCGGCCGCCAGCAGTCCGGATCGGCGCCGTGGGCGATCAGGGTCGCCGCGACCTGCTCCTGGCCGGAGTCGAGCGCGTCCCAGAGCGGACAGCCGGCGTTGACGTCGGCGCCCCGACGACAGAGAGCCTCGACGACGTCGGCCAGGCGGCAGTGCACGCTCATCTGCATCGGAGTTTCACCGCTCGACGTTCTATACGTGTTCGACAGAGAGAAACGAGGGTATTGAATTGAAGATGATATTGGTTGATTCGATTGTAAAACATTAAAAAATCGTATGGTAACATACAGAAAAATTTCATTAAAAAATGAAGTTCTCGTCTACCCCAACCTTCGTCAAATGCGTGTTGAGAATTAACGCGGATAAATTTAATTTGTTTGTCGTCTTCTCACATGAATAGTATAAAAAACATTGAAAAATTCACTGGATATCCGATTATTGAGACGTAACTCGAGTTTGTATGCCCCGCGATAATTTTACGCATCGAGTTCGAATTAAACTCGTAAAATCAGGTGCTCGCACATCCCTATTCGAACATTTGAGGATCACACCAATATATATGCATAGCGATAAAAATCTATTGCATTGTTATGAACTGATGATGCACTATCATGAAATGACGTTAATATACGATTTGCGGAAGTTTTTTTTGAGCCCAGATTCTAAATAAATTTTTTGGCAATTGATAAGGACTGCTGAAGAGAATTGGTAACTTCTTGAAAAGAGTCCAAGGAGTCATAATGGGGGCTAAATTCTCATAACCATAATTATGGAATAACAAAAGATAGATCCAAGGTTTATCGCTACATAAAACAACGTTAAAATGCAAACTCACGGCGAATTGAGATCGGCTCCGTTCTCGATCAGGAATATGGCGTAGTCCGAGTTCTCGGAGTTGATGGACGTGTGCAGGGCCGTGTAGCCCTCGTCGTTCCTCTGCTCGATGTCGGCCCCCGCCTCGATCAGCACCCGCAGTATCTCCTTGTCCCGGGACTCGGCGAGCACCGCCAGGCTCAGGGGAGTCTCGCCGCGCCTGTCCTTGCAGCTGGTGAGCTGCTTGCGTCGCTGGGGCTCGGGCTCGGCGGCCAAAAGCGCCTCGAGGCTGCGCAGGCAGCCCCGGCTCACCGCCAGATGCAAGGCCGTCTCCTCCTGGAGGGTGCGGCTCTGCAGCAGGCCCGGGGCGAGCTCGAGCAGTCGTTCGCACAGCCGCGGCAGATCGGAGCGCGCCGCCTCGTGCAGCACCGTGAAGCCCTCGCGATCCCGTGCCTCCAGGCTCTCGGTGTCCTTGAGCCGCTTGTCCTCGCGCTTCAGCGACTCGAGAAGGAAGAGCGCGGCGTCTTCGCGACCCTCGCGCGCCAGCTTGTGGAGGAGGCTCACGGCCTCGTCGCCGGGATAGCGCGGATTGGGCGCGGCGCCCTTGGCCAGCAGCTTGGCCGCGGCGCTCTCGAAGCAGGGCTCGGCCAGCAGGGCCTGGCACAGCGCCGTGTCGCCCTGGCGCGTTCGCAGATCGACCTGGAGCGAGTCGCAGCTCAGCAGCACGTCCAGCATGGGCTCGTTGCGCTCCGCGACGCAGCAGTGCAGTGGACTCCTGTGCGCGATACACGATTAAAAATCACGAACAAAATAGACCGGCAGATATTGATCGATAATAAGTGCTGATTTTTACACTTATGCCCTTGAAAAGTCTGAAAGATACATCGATAACAAGCTCAAAAACGGAATATTACGCCGTATTAGCGTGGCGATAGATTTGAAAGTACATATCGATTTGTAACAAATTTTGTCCTTGCGTGCTGATTTTTTAACTTATGCCATTATGAAAAGATGATAGTTTGGCACTGATCGAGTGTTTATCTAGCTAGGCATAAGAGCACCTATAGTATCCTTTGGTGTAGATCGATATGGTCATAGTGCAAGAAAAATCCACGATTGTGTGCTGATTTTTAAACTTAAGCCAATGAAAGGGATGAAATTTTTAAATTCATAGAATAGATAAAAAATAATGGTATAAGTGCCAACAGTAGATATTAAAATCTAGACTCTACGAAAGTTGTGAAAAATGTTTAACTCGAAAGAAATATTGTACAACTTTCGTAGAGTCTAGATTTTTATATCTACTAGTGGCCCATATGCCGTTACTTTTTATGTGTTTTATGAGTTTCAAAATGTCATCTCTTCCATTGGCATAAGTTAAAAAACCATGGGTTTTTCTTACATTATGACCATATCGATCTACACCAAAGGATACTAGGTGCTCTTACGCCTAGCTAGATAAACACTCGATCAGTGCCAAACTATCATCTTTTCATAATGGCATAAGTTAAAAAATCGGCACACAAGGCTAACATTTTTTACAAATTAAAAAAATAATCGCCACGCTAATACGGTGTGGCGTAATATTCCGTTTTTTGAGCTTGTTATTGATGTATCTTTTACACTTTTCAAGGGCGTAAGTGGAAAAATCAGCACCTATCATCGGTCACTATCCGTCGGTTTAAAAGTATATATATGCGCGCTGTTTACCATCCGTCGTTGTTCTGGGCGTTGGGCTCGAGTCCGGCCTTGATCAGTCTCGTGGCCACGGCGAGCATGTCCTGGGCCCGATGCCGGGCCAGCAGGTGCAGTGCCGTCGAGGCGTCGCGCGGGTGCGGCCGGTCGAGCTGCTGGCCGCAGTTCTGCAGCTGCTCGACGATGAACTCGGCCGCGTACGAGTCGCTCTTGCTGATGGCCGAGTGCAGCAGGCTGCGGCCCTCGGCGTCCCTGGCCCAGAGGTCGGCCCGATGCTCCACCAGGGTACGAGCCAGCGACGGCTGGCGGCTCTTCAGGGCGACCTCGAGGGCCGTCTCGCCCCGATTGTCCAGTCTGTTGACCGCGTCTGGAAGCTGCGTGTGAAAAGATGGGGGCAGAGAGAACATTTTTAATCCTCGTTCATCCAGAGTCATTCGTTATCCGCATCTCAGCCGGATATAATGGTTCACGGAACAGAGAAACCCTTGATGCCAGTTTGTTTAATTTTTAATCCGCACAGAACCGCACCGATGCTCCGTTCTGCAAGATACTACTTCGTTGGACTTTACAGGTGACAATTTTACGATTTGGAATTTAAAAAAACTATGATTTTTAATGATCGTCGCGAAATACAATCGTTAGCTGAACTATAATATTTGTTATCATTTTAGGGGGTGCCGAAGTAGCGTCTTTCTAAACGTAAATTAAACTGGCGTCGTGTAGCTCTCTGTTCAGTGAACCATCATCTCGCTACCAGAAGGCATTGATTTTATGCGAATTAAATTACAAAAACGTTTCAATAAAACAAAAATTAATTTAATTTCCAGATGAGTCATAAGTGTCATAACGAGTATTTGGATATGTATATTTTATTCTCTATAGCCCGGTCGCGCGCACGAGCTACTTTTAAATCGAAAACGAAACTGTTACGGTCGATGAAGTTTCGTGCTATACGTCAAAGTCTAGTATACAAAGTATAAGAAACACATATTCAACTTTGCGACGGCCCATTAGTGCGTCGCATTCTTTCGAAGCGTTAAATAAAAATTAATGTAACCGAGCTAATGATCCGTCGGGCTTCTATTCGACAGCTATGAATAGATATCGGTATTACGGCGTGCCACTGCGAGAGGTTTAAATCCGTTCATTATATAGAAATATATAGTGTATCGCCTTTAAAAAAGGCAGAGCGGAGATTTAATCCGAGAACTCGGAGCGGCGGTCTATATGGTGTACTGAAATTCTTCTCTCTCTCTCTCTCTCTCTCTCTTTCTCTTCGTTTGTTTGTTTTTTAAGCGAATATACAACGCGCAACGAGACCGATGGACGAGAAAGAGCGAGAGAGAGAGATTTTTTCGGGAACTTTGCTCTCTTTTTTGCGGCTTTAATACCACTTCGAGTTGGATAAAGAAAAACGAAGCTCTCGACTTTGGAGGATGATGATACGGCACAGCGTACGGCGAGTCGAACGCGACTCGTCGTCGTGTGTATAGCAGGTGGCGCAGGCGCGAGCGCGAATAAAACCCGAAGAGCTTGAAGGGGGGTATCAATTCGCGACGTGGAGTGTTTCATTATTCGAGAGTCTCAGTAGCGAATGGAGAACGCACGCGAACTGCAGCAGTGGTGTGTGGCAGGCAGTAGTAGTGCAGCAGCCGACGATCGCGCGAATATAGTCGCGCTTTGGAGCTTTGCCAGTAAACATTAACGTACATTATAGCAGCACGACGATATTTTATAATAATAAAGTTTTGCACCGATGGGGTCTCGCCACTTTCGTTCTCGGCCAGTCGAAAGATGAAGAAAGATGTACACGCGCTTTTTTGTGTCAGAGATTGTCATTACGATTCGTACGCTAGTATAGTGGCATAGCAACTCTGTGATCCATATACACTCCGTCGTGATCAATCGGTCCCTGACATCGACGGACAATTGGTCGGTATATATATAGTGACCAGCAGTAGCAGCGGACCATGTGCGCCCGAGCATCGTCATCGTCATCGCGCCCATGACGACGACAACAACATCTGCGGATTTTTTACCGCGTTGGTGGTGCACATAGTCGAGGCGAGTCGAGCGCGCGAAATTTTACAGACACCACATCATACATGTAATATATGAAATTCATCAGCGAAAGAGAGCGAGATAGGACAGGCGCGCGTATGTATATAAGATGATAATATGTATATAGGGAGTGAATCACACGCACATCCCGAACTTCCTGTCCTTTCATGTGTGTACATTATATACGAAGCTCTCTGCCACTACTACTACTGCTAGCTACTGTTGCGGCGAAACGCGTTGCTACTGCTGCTGCTCCGTTAATGTATATCACATAGCAGCGGAGTACTTTGCGCGTTAATTTCCCCTCTTTCTCTCCCTTTAAAAAACATAATACTGTGACACGCAACGTGTAGCCATCCGATAAAGAGAGAGAGAGAGAGATAGAGGAGCGCGGCTGACACATTTTATTTAAACAACGCGTATCGCGCAAAAGAAGCCAAGTCGTTTTTCGTCGTGCGCACGGACGGTATACAAGAGAAAGAGGAGAGCGAACGACGAATTATAATAATTCGTCCCCAAGATGACGACGATAGGAGGAAGAGGCTGCTTATCCAAGACAACGACTTATCTAGCCAGTGAGTGTTATTATCGTTTACGTTAACTACTTGTTTTTCCTTTTTTTAGTCATTTCGTGCAATCGTTGCGACACATAGAGTAGAGGAAGAGAAGAGCTACTCGCGCGTAAACATTCGCGCGCGCGCGCGACACACATTATCTACTCGCGTTACATCGTGTACACGATATAAGCGTTTGTTTATTTCTTGAAATAAAAAAATTGTTTTGTCCCCCTTGACGACACACACTGGTGTATATACACACGCCACGCGTTCCTTTCACTCTTTCCTTCACGGCTATTAGCAGCGCGTCCACCGAATGTGCACGACAGCGATGTGGACGTTTCACCTTGCGCGCGTAACTACATACAATCGTGTGAAATGCAGGAATCCTTGCCTTGCTTGCGCCGCGTTCTTCAGTTGTGAAACGGACGCGAGACGTTACCTTTTAAACGCGCGGCTATATGGGTTGAATCGAATGAAGTAAAAAGAAAAAAATAAATAGGCTCGTGACGCAATGAATTTAAAATTCATACGCATCGAGTCGATATTACAGTATATGAATTTCTCCTTTTGGGCGCGGAATATTTTTTTTTTTCTTTTCATTTCCAACGCGTATCACACGACAACGATAATAATGATAATAATCGGGGCAGTTATATATTAATTAAGGCATACGATAGAAAGAGAGGCACACGCACATAACGATGCTAATGCGCGCGAGCTGCGGTGTATAATATGGCGTGTCGCTGAGTCGTCGTCGTCGTCGTCGCGCGTGCTGCACCGCGTGACATTGAGCTATAACGAGGATAAAACTCGACAGATGCCCGATAATACAGCTTTATTATTTATTTATTTTTTCTTTTTCTTTGCTCTCGCGCTCTCTTTAAATACTCTCTTGCTGTTTTCGCGCTTCATCGATCGGCCACTCGCGCGTACATTAAATATTCATCGATTGGCGGTTGGCAAGCTCGCGCGCGGGCCGATCTATAATATATATAAGGAGTCCGAGTTCCGTTACATTTCGCGCGCGCGAATAATAATATTCGGACCATTGTTTTGTATATTAAATATATTACGCGACGATGATTTTGTATGCGTGACACGAGCTACTACTGCTGCTGTCGCGATGATAAACTCGCGCGTGTATAGTATATACGGATGATTCATGAAAACCGATAATAAATGACAAATTCAAGAATGACAAAGAGACGCTTATCTCTCTCCGTACGTCGACGCACCGAGTTGTATCAAACACACGCTCGCTCGTTGATTTTCACTTTATTGGCAAAGAAAAAAAGTAATAAAAATGTTTTCCACTCGAGGCCCGGCGGTGGTGTCGCTGCTGACGATAATAACAATAATAACGTCACTGGCGCCGTGCACGAGCGCCAACATGACGTGCTACAGGTGCACGGTGCACCCGCCCCAGTACCAGGGCGACGCCGATCAGCCCTGCCAGCAGTTCGACGCCAGCGAGAGATTCCATCAGGTCTGTCCGGCCTCGACGTTCTGCCTCAAGCGCATCATACCCTACAGACTGCCCAACGGAAGTGAGTAACTACTAAACCACCCATTGATATAAATCGATATATATAGAGTGTATGATTCACTTTTTTTTACTCCATTATTACAGCGATGACGACGACGTTCGAGCGCGACTGCGCCCCCCAAAAGTACGCCATCACCGAGTACAATTACGAGCTGCGCGAGTGGATACGCAACGAGCGGATCAATCGCACGGCCTACCAGGACGGCTGCTACGCGGGCCAGAATCGCGGCACGCCCAACGGGCCCTCCACCTACTGCTACTGCTCGTCCGATCTTTGCAACGACGCCGAGGCCCACAGACCCTCGAGCGCGCTTTATTACGCTCTGGCGATCGTCGTGGCCGTCGTCGCGCGATCGTGAAGAAAAAAAAAATAAAATAAAATAATGATAATTATCGCGTCGCGCGTACAATAATTTACGGTACAATAACGATTAAATGTGATATTAAAGTTACGAAATAGCCTCGGTAATATATATTTATATAGTTAAGATTGTTAAAGAGAATCTCGTATAATGATATATACCGTTGATCTCTATTGTTTGATTCTGCGGACAATGTTGTTGCGCGTTAGAGCTTTTGCATTTGTGCATTGATAATAGTACAATGAAAAAAAAAGAAGAAAAAATACACATATAATATATTATATAGTTGGTTAAGTGTATCTATCTCACCTCGGCATTGTGTTCGACCAAGTACAAGAAGACGACGTCTTCGCGCTGCAAACGGACCGCCGAGTGCAACGGATAGTCGCTCTTGGCCTTAAGAAGTTGATAGAGCAGAGGACCCGGCATTTCTTTGAAGTCCTCGCCGCTCAGATCGTCCTGAGAAATATTTGCCATGTAAATAGTTAGTGCGATTGTTTGTACATAATGCAATGTGTCTTTTATTGTAAAAAAAAAAAAATAAAGAAGATATTTTATTGAAACGCACCCAGTGACAAGATATCAATGAACTGCAATGATCTCGTAATTTCTTGGTTCCCAACTCCTCCGCGATGGTGTACAATTTGACGCAGTCCTGTAGCTGTACGTTTCCCATTAGATACTTTTCGCATCTTTCCATTAGCTCCGTCAAGCCAAAACTTGACGCCGCTTTCATGAGCTCCAAAGAGAGTTTGTCCTCGCTGACGCTATCCGTATAGATCCATTTCAGTAGAACCGAGGCAATACTTTCATCCAAGTGCTTCCAATCTGCATCGAAAGATCATTGAAGACGTAATGTAGTCGACGAATGTTTCTCAAATGAGTTGATTTTTTTGACTTACCAAGAACAGACTTTTCTGCAAGAGAGCTCCAAGAATCACTTCTTGCTGCGAGAACAAATTTATGCACGGGTACATTTTTATTTGTTAATTCAATGGTAATGTCGCTGGAATAGAAAAAATTAGTTTTATTTCATGTTGATTATAATACTCATGGATAGATTTAAAAACAAACCTGTAACGTTTTTCTCCATATAATTGGGCTATTTGGGATAGTAAGCGCCCTGCAAAACTTTCATGATCATCTATTGAAGCAGTCGCTAAAGTATATTTCTGCTGCAATTCTGTATAATTATTATATAGATTCACATATTGCTCTCGTAGGAGAGCAAGATGCTGCTGCCATTTCTGAGCCTCTACTGTATCATCTGTTGAATGGTACATTGATAATTAATAAGCTTTACTCAAATGAAGTAAAATGTCATAAAAAAAGTATTAATGTAAACATACCCATGATAATGAATTTTTTCTTGTATTATTTTCAATTAACGTTCAGTAAAAACATTAAAAATTACATGGAAAACTTAACGTATAACAATATATCATACTTTCATCTTATTTTTTACACATAATATAATGGGAATTCTCTGAATTCTTCAATAAATAACTTTTCTTTTGATTCGAATCCCACCAAATATTCGCAGATAATAACAATTATTATCTCCGATATAATTTTCACTTGATTTCACACGCGTTCTCATACGTAAATACGCCCCTCAAACTAAGATATCACTGAAGCTGAAGAGCAACCGAGTGTTAAAAATTTTAACATTTAGATGGATGCAAGATTGTATCGATTAAATTGAGCACTTGCACCATTGACTAACTCTTTTCAAAACTATTCATGGCACCGTTCAACAACTATCTCAGAGTCGAACATTTTATAAAACATCAAAATCCTCACACAAATTAGCGGAAAACTTGGCAAACGTCTCTTTGCTAAGATTTAACCTATAGCCTACAATCTGCGGCACTCCTTGTATATTTGTGTGTGCAAAAATGTACACATATGTGTGCCTACAATGTTACTGTAGCGGGGGAGGCCCCAAACGCCAGAATACGAGTAGTGTCATCGCAGTTCAGCTATCGTCTGCTCTTTGACTGAAAACATTGAGGAACTCGCGGTATCTCCTTTAATTATTACGGATATTATTTTCTAAAAATGGAACCTCAGGACATTTATTACAACAAAAATGAGTACGTGGAGACTGTAAGTATGAACTGATTGTCTTAGAAGTTGTTGATCTTGTTAGTGAGCGTTTATTAAATATCTGAAAAGATGCACATAACTAACTTTTTTTCATGGATTTTGTTCATAAGGCTTCAGGTAACAAAGTCAGCCGGCAGACTGTGTTATGCGGCTCGCAGAATATTGTTCTCCATGGAAAAGTTATCGTGCAGTCAGATGCCATAATAAGAGGTGATCTGGCTAATGTCAAAACTGGTCGTTACTGTATCATTGGCAAAAATGTTGTGATTCGACCACCTTTCAAAAGATTCACAAGAGGGTGCGTAGTTATATGAACAACAAAATTTCTCTTTTGCAAAACTTTAGTGAATCCTTTTTAATTTCAGAATTGCATTTTTTCCTCTTCAAATGGGAGACCATGTGTTTGTTGGAGATAATTCAATTGTCAGCGCAGCCATTGTTGGATCCTATGTTTACATAGGCAAAAATGCAGTTATTGTAATACTAATATTATCAAACTAAAATATTCAAATTATTTTCATATATTATCAAGTAAATTTATACTTTCAGGGAAGGAGATGTGTGCTTAAAAGTTGTTGTTACATAGAGGATGGCGCAGTAGTTCCTCCAGAAACTGTTGTGCCTTCGTTCACTAAATTTGCAGGAAATCCAGCAAAGTGCATAGAAGATCTACCAGAATGTACAATTGATTTAATGGTGGATTTTACCAAAAGTTATTATCAGCATTTTTTACCTTCTAAAGTATAAACATAATCTCTCAATTAATTACTAAATTAATGAAATTACACTTACAAAGACTTATGTATAGATATAACTATAGTGCTTTACTGTTAATTTGCGAATCCTTACTATTATTTACTAGGTGGAAGTAGACATGGTTTAAATTGTATTTTCTAAAAAGTGATTAACTCTGATCAACTCTGTCAAAATGATGTATATATCTTCAGTAACAGAATTATTTTCTGAACTTGAATAAATATTTTCAATCAAACATATGTGAATAAAGATTATACTTTTTTGGCAAAAACTTTTAAATCACATAAATTCAATGAAATGTAAATAATTTTTTATTTGAAGAAGTCCTAAAAAACTCAGTAAGTGTACAAGAAGTTATTTTTAAAAAGTTAGAAAAAATATTGATTTATTCCAAAGCGTGTATTCGTTATCATTCATGTAAAAAAAATTATCTAGTAAGTTCAGTTTAATAGATACAATGTATTCTAGATTTAAAGTATCTTTTTTATCATTTATTTTAAAACAAATCATGAATAAATGAAACTTTTAAACTTTATTTGTGTCATATTTTTATTTACATCTATTACTTATATACATTTTTGATGACCTTAAACATATTTTATAACATTTAAAAAGATATAATTATGATACAAATGAAACTCAAAAAAATATCAGTTATATTTTTAGATATCTCGATTGATGTTAAAATTTTTGATTCATTACTTTTTTACTTTGTTGTGTTAGTACTAAGTACTTGGTTTTATATTATTTTTTTTTTTTAATCCTTTTTTCACTTTTTTCTTGATTTCTTCAACATCAAGATCCATTTTTGTGTCTGTTTTCTTCTCTGTAGATTTTGTTTCCTCTGGTGGAACGAATGCTTGTTCTCTGCGTTCTTGTCGTTTTTTCTGAGCCTCCTCATGTCTGTCCGAAATTTCCTTTGTTTTCTTGGCTTTCTTCTGTTCTTGGTTGAGGAAGTATTCTCCACTTTCAAGTTGTTTATCAGTATTACTCTGTGGTTGTGCCGGTGGGAAGGGAGTATAAGGCTTCTTAATTTTCTTATTTTTGGGTTGTTTTCTTTTACTGATATTCTTAGATTTGAATTTCGGTAAGAATTTTTCCCAATTTTCATTTTTCAATACGGGGTCTCTAGCCAATTCTCTCTTGATCATGAGAGCTTTAATGTTATAGATTGGATGTATATTATTCATTGTGTCTTCCACAATCCTTCTTAACTGCTGCAGACCTCTATAAGGTCCCACACCAGCTACAGTTGAGCCATGAACTAGTACATAGCAGTTGGTAAGAAGTTCAATGGATTTGAGCGTGCAGCCACCAGGTCCAATGAGTCTGGCTCTTCTCTTTATAAACTTTTCTTTGTTCCTGGTATATGTGTTTATTTTAATGATATCAGCTGAGATTTCATCTTGTAAAACTTTTACAGCTTGCTCGAATGGTACTGATCGAGCCAGAAGTCTGATCATATCACGAGACTTGAGAATAATAGAAGGGTCCCATGTTTTTCTTGTTGTCATAACCTCCATGCTGCCCCCTACTGTATCAAGTGTCGCTTTAATGTGATAATCAGCAAGAGCTTTTTGCACTAGTGGCCATGATTTTTTTAAATATTCTTCACGATATGCCGGAAACAGAATGTTAAATGTTGATTGATCCCATAAAGTTTCTTTCATGTCACCTTGCTTGAATTCTGGAATTGTCAATGACCAAGCATTGTCTACGGGGTCGGTGACCGCTGCTGTCCACTTAGGTACTAGGTCCTTTAGCCTAGGTCCTTTCTCAATTACTGGCTTATTCTTTTTTCTTCCCATGGTAAATTACACTGATTTTCACTGATAATTAAAAAATAAAAATAATGTTTACTGGATGATTCCTAACCAAGAAAAACACGCGCGCCGATTAGAATGTATCGTGTCTACAGTTCTGCGGTAAGTATTCTACTCCTTGCAGCACGTGGTGGAGTTCACAGTTGTCACATCGGCTAACCGTTAGTTCACTGCGTTGCGACTGCTGCGACTCTAAATAACTTATAAGAATAAAGCAGCGGGAATATTTTGAACTTCGAGTCGATCTCTCATAACTTTCAGGATCGATTTTTCGATTTTTAATATATACTTACGGTCGAAGTTAGTCAGAGAAAAATTAATATTTTTCTCAGATGGGAATAGCAGATCGGCCATCGTTCGAAAATTTTCATTATTCTTTGGTTGGTTTTAAATATTTTTTAGTAAAAATATTTCGTAAAAATAATCTGTCAAGTAGATATACCTATTGAACTTCCTCCGTTGGAGATATTGGCAGGATTTATTCCTTACTTTCAACTGTTTTAAGGACTTGATATATAAATCATTAATTATAATTTATAATTCAGAATTTAATTAATTTTTTTAGTATATATAATAATTTCCTACTAAACATTTTTCAATTTGAGTTATGGCTTTTATATCAAATAAAAAATATGTATCAAACTCTCAATATGTATCAAATATGCATCAACTGTTTGAAGGAATCTAATATTTTTCATAATACTTATCTCGCTCATTTTAAATCTTGACCATTTAGAAGTTTAATTTCATATAATTTATACATTAAAATTAAATTTTTTTTTTACTCTGATAAATACTCACATTTTGATTTGAATATTTGAATACTTGTGAATTAGCTAATTCATCAATCAATAAAATTTAAGAAAATTTTATGAGAAATAAGTCTTATTGCTAAAATCCTCTCCAAGCATAATTATGGGCTAAAGGGGGACTTAAATAATTTTATATTCTATTTATAGTATTAAGCTGAAAAAGTGGAAAAAATTTTTTAAAAAAAATCAGGCATAAGAGCCTTTTTCAATTATAATACTCGATTGGAAAGTACATTGTTCAGTTGGATACTTACTAACAGTTAAATACACTGGTATAAGGCTATAAAGATCTTCAACGATAAACAGTAGTCATCTCCAAACTGCCTGTCACAGTTTTCCAAAAGTTCACATGACACAATTGAGTTGTATGTGGTTTCATTTTGCTCGAGGGACCGTTGGCCATCAAACGCAAACTCAAAGTAAGCATAAGATCAACTTTGACTACTTTCGCATACAATTTAATAGAATATTTTATTAAAAATTATCAATAATAATCAATACAATGAAATCTCTCGCATAATGCATGTTACAACTTTAAGCTTTTATTATTTCCAATGAAAAGTCATTATTATTTTTAAGGTGACAAATAATTTAAATTAGGATTCAGCATATAGTAACTAGAGAGTTCACTATAGGCTCAATGCGTTATATCATGTTTTTTGTAGTCAGTATAAATCTGTTACTATATGTACAGTACTTGTATATATTTAAAACAAATGTATCCACTACTACTATTATAGTACTTTTATTAATCACAAGTTGTAACAATTTGTATATCAAGGTACAGACGATGCATACTTATTAACAATATTTCATCTACTACAATACATTCATTAATTCTTAAATTGAGCTTGAAAATTATTTTTTTTACAAAATGCTATGGATAATTTTAATTATAAATTAAACATTATTATAAGTTAGTTACAGGCGAGCATATTCAGAATTCTCTGCTTTATTACACGACGGACAAGATTTATTACACGTAGTACAAGGTGTTCCCTGAATCGATGGGTGCACAGTTCGCAGCTGTCTACAATGAGTATAATCGATCACGATCCTCGACGATCCCAAGACAAGAACGTCGACATCGCGCTTCGTATCAGTCGCCTTCGCGCAGCTCCATCTCCGTGCGAGCAGCGACATCGGGGGCAGCATCGAGCCGGCCAAGAGGAGCATCGCACCGGCCGCGCGGAAGGCCATGTCCGCGCAGAACTCGTCGACGAGGTAACCGGCGTTGAGCGGGCCGAACAGCGAAGCAGCCGTCTGCATCACCCACGGCAGACACATGAGGGTCTGGTCGCGGGATCGAGTCGAATAACCTCCCTGGAGATGATCCGCCAGACAGAAGTGGCTCAGGACGAGGAAGCAGCCGCCGGTGAAGCCGAAGGCGGCCGCGTAAGCCGCCATCACGAGGAAGTTTCCGGCTACGTAGGTATGGCTGACTGATGTGACTGTAAATAATGCTAAAGAACGATCGTTATGTACCATGTATAGATATGCAAGAAAAGTCAGTTAAAATAAGTCGAGACACTCACCGATACCGCAGACGATCAAGAAGCCGCTGTAGACGAGGAGGGTGCAGTAGGGGTTGTTCCTCGGGCGCCTAGGCAGGTAGCAGCTGGCCAGCAGGCGACCGAAGCAATCGGCTATACCGATGACCATGAGGAAGACGTAACCTTGGCCCGGCATGCCTCGATCCGCTGCCAGCCTCTCGATGAAGAGGAAGGGCACGAGATAGCCGCTGATGGCGAGGAACCTCGAACAAGAGAAGATCCACGTGATGGCGATGTTCTTTACGCTGTACTCGGGAGACGGGGGTGGGCCGTTGTTGTTGTTCGCGTCCACGTTGTCCTGATCCTCGTGCAGCAACTGCACGATACTGTCGCGGTGGAACAACTTGGGCTCGTAGGTTCCTGGTTGCCGGCCGCCCTGGGGCTTGAAATAGATACACCCGTAGGCGGAGGTGCAGCACATTAGCAAGCACGCCAGGCAGATCATGACTGGGCGATAATCGCCGTAGCCCCGAAGCAGTTGGTCGAGCAGCGGGGCTACCATAGCCGTGCCCAAGCCCTTGGCGCACAGGCCCATCGCCAGCACGACTCGGGGCCGCAGGTAGCTCTCCCGGCTGATCAGCTGGTACAGCGAGACCTGCACCGAGTGATAGACGAGGCCCAGCCCGAGGCCGGTGGCCCCGCCCGCCGTCTGACAGACCCACTGGAGACTCGTGGCCCGGGTGGCGCAGAGGAGGCTGCCCGAGGCGAGCATGGCGCCCAGCCCCGACACGACCACCTGCCGACAGCCGAGTCCCTTGACGAGCAAGCACGAGAACGGGTAGGCGATGCAGCCGCTGGCCAAGAGCGCCGCGTACATGACCGAGGCCACCCGCTGCTCGTGGCCTGGCAACGACGTTGCCATGTCGTCGGGAAATTCCTTGATCCATTCGTTTTGAAAGAGGCCGTACGAGTTTAGCACTCCTTCGACTGTGAATGCATCGAAATATATTGTATATTAGTTCGTGTATGAAATTGGGCTGTAGAGTGATAGTTGTGTTGCGGCGTTTCGGCTCATAGATTCCATGTGCTTTTCGAGACTTTTCAGTTCTTTACTTTCTAATTGAAAAATATTACGAGAAAAGACAGTGTATAAGAGCACATGGGATTTATCGAGGCTTCAACCACGTGCTCGGAAACTCTTCGGGTTTTTAACTCCCTTGGTGCAAAGGACTACATAAATTTATCTATAAGGGTGAAAAATACATGGTAGCCGCGGAGGTGGTAAGAAAACGGAAGCGCGTCAAGTTAATCATGCTCTTATCTCTCGATCTCGTTCTCGTAAATTATTTTTGTGTACGAACACGCGTGAAGCTAATTGTTTTATAATGGCTCGATCATAATGTAACAGCTAAGAGGCCAGCTACTTTTTCGAAATTAAACATAACAGCAACAAAAACTGACGAAGTAAATTAATAATTATACTCACTCAACAATTGAAGCACGAAGCAAACGAGTAAGAAGACCCATCCTCGGATCTTGTGTAGCGTCGTCGATGTATTCTGCCTTCCGTCCGGTATAAATTCCATTGGATCCGTATTTTTCGATCGAACAAGTGTTGGTGCCTTCGATGCTGCAAGCCGACTGTGCCTCCGTCAGTTTCTTAGCTATTACTGAGACTGTTTAAAATCGTAGATCGATGCTTTTGTCTCTAATGGTGAAGATGGGGCTACTGCAGCTGGCACCATAATAGAAAGTGTAACTCGAATGCATCACTTTACATCACTCATAATCGTTCGAATATAATTGATTCATTAGTAGATTTCAAACGGAAATGAGCCATATACTTTTTACCTTCTAATGGATTTTGTTCGTCCAGTCGATTTAGGATTTAGATAAGAAAGACCGACATAATTACTTTACCAAAATGATCTATCTTCTGATGTGGATTGATTCGATTTATAATTCTCAATTAAGTGTTCAGAGCCATTATGAAAAACCAGATAAAGTTGATTCTATATTATTTATTTATTTTCAATAAATTTTTTTATAATTTTTCTCTATACTTGGCAAACTAGATGCTATCGCATCTATTGATATTGCATTGCATCAACATTTAACTAAAAAAAAAAAAAAATTGGAAAAGGAAACTCGGAAAAGAATGCACCTAAAAGAGAAAGTTAAAATGGATCGAAATGAATTTTTAACGTGCGCGACTTTTCCGAAAAAACACATGGCCCATACGTATATAAAAACTCGTGCCGGTGCTTAGCCTTCAGTAACCGATCAATTACATTCGAGTGAACGTCTCTTCTTAGTGCATATAGTCAATCATCTCCGAAGAATCATGTCCGACGTAAACGTTGACGTCCTACCAACACCTCGGGACAGGGAATACGTGCAATCGCTCTTTCATCACGCTTGCTTCCACGGCGACCTGCTCTGGGCGAAGAAACTTCTGGAGAACAATCCGGACATAGACGTGAACGCGGCCGACCGCCACGGCACCGTACCCATCTTGTACGCGGCCAACCGGGCCAACCACAGGATCCTGCAGTTCCTCCTGGGCAACGGGGCCGATCCGAACGTGACGTGGGGCGATCGCCGTCGTAGCCCTCTTCACCTGATCTGCAACATCAGGCGGTGGTTCTTCCTGCCCCGACGTGATTCCGAGCGCCACTGCGAGATCGTGAAGCAGATGGTGAAACGCGGCGGTGGCCACGTCGATGCCCTCGACGCCAACGGGACCAGTCCGCTGTTTCACCTGTTCAATTACGTACGGTTCATCAACTGCATCGATTACGACCGATCGTTCTCAAGCTGGAGACAGATGCAACTGGACCTGGTGAAACTGCTGCTCTCGTTGGAGGCCGACGCCAAGATCGTCGACAACGAGGGCCGAACCATTTTGCACGCCTTCTTTCCGCGCTTCGCGCTCGTTCTCAACGGCTATCGCGACGATTCCCGGGGCGCCAAGATCGTACAACTTCTCCTGGATCACGGCGCGCCGGTTGACGCCGTCTGTCCCAAGAACGGCCGAACTCCCCTGCAGATCGCCATCAGGTCGCTCAACTATCGCGTGGCCGAGGTGCTAGTGCGCAACGGAGCCCAACTTCCGGATCTGCTGCAGTTCGAGAGATCGTTTCCGCTGGCGACATCTGGCCACGACGACGTCGTCGACAGCGACACCGTCATCAGGACGTACTTCATGTGCGTACGTCTGTACGGGAAGGCGATGACGAGGCGTAATATAGACGACGTGCTGCAATTCTTGGAGCGCGCCCCGACTGCGCCTAAGAACCATTATGGATTCGAAGCGATTTTGATGTATGGTAAGTGTTGCAGTTTCTATATTAGCTATAGGGCTGTGCGAGTACCCGATTTTTCGCTGAAGTTCGAGTCGAGTTCGAGTCGAGTCGAGAAGATTCGACTACTCGAGTTGTTGTTTCGAGTACTCGCAAGGTATTTAAGTTTTAATTATATAAATGATGAATTAAACGTCTCTAGGCTCCTCAATTTGTGTGTATACATACTACATACTTAAAAGTGTGATAAAATGTGGTAATGTTAAATTATTTTCTTTTTCCAATCCAATCGAATATAACACTTAAGCATGTACACACAAAGGGAGGGGGTCTGTTTCATCATTTATTTACTCAAAACTTAAATACATTGCGAGTACCCGGAAAAACTCGATTACCCGAAAAAACTCGAGTACACAAAAAATCGAGTACTCGCACAGCCCTAATATTAACACAGACACACCTTACAATCGGAAAATTATGAATTGCAATTTTGAAAAGTATTTTTCTCTCATTTTCCTAGAATTATTTAAAATTTTCTAATATTTTTTTACTGAGATACAGCCATTTTCGTAAGCTTGGAGCTACAGCACCAGGGTCGCGTATACACTTCTTCAGAACATCTTACAGCTTTCAGAAAGCAGGGTTGTAAAGAAATCAATTAAAAGTTATAATTCATAAATTCAATTGATTTTTGAATTGAAACTATTTTAATTTACGAATCAATTTCAATTTCTGAATTAAATTCATTTTAATTTATGATTAAATTAATTAAAATAAATTTAATTCAAAAATCACAATTGTTTCGTGAATTATAATAGTTTTAATGCAAAAATCAATTGATTCAGGAATTAGACTGGATTTAAATTGAAAATTAATTTAAACTTTTACAACCCTGTCAGAAAGTGCTGTGTCTCAGTCAAAAATCAACTTTTCAAAGTTTTAAAAAATACAATGGAAAAGGGCAAAACATCCTTTCCAAAAATTAAATAAAAAAATTTTCGATTTAAAGGTACCTATAAAAGCCCTGAATTCAATCGATCCTAAAATAATTTTTTTCACGCAGGTTCCAGAAAAGCCGTCATTGATTATTTCGACGAACTGTGGTTGGCGCTGGAAGATCGACAGCTTCCCAAAGAAGAAGATCAACTAGAATGGAAAAAGTTGAAGATTCCCGTCTTGAAAGCCTGGACCATCATGGAGTTGGGCGACTTTTTTAAGAACGAAGAAACGAAATCTTTGTTCCGCTATTTGGAGGAAATATTGTGGGGCGAGCGCTTTACTCTCGATATCGCAGAGAGAATAGAAACTCGGGTGAGGCGCGAAGTCTTGCGGGCAGAGCAAACACTATTGACGGACGGACTGACGCTGCTCGACGTCCTTAAAAGTGATCCTGAAATTATACACGAAGACGAGGTGTACGATGACATTTGGAATGTACTCACGAACAAGTCCGAGTTTGAAGTTAGATTTGAATTTACGGGTGAGGTAATAAAAGGACACATCGCAAAAATGCTCCTGAGTAAATTGCGAGCTGATTCAAATGGACGTGAGTGAACTTTTTGAGTCACTATCAATTTTGTAAGAATAGTTTTGTAATTAATTATTTGTTGTAAATTTTTATATTAAAATTACGAGAGAGAAAAATGGACTATGTTTGCACTACTCGTAGATATGTGTGCGAGCTGCATAATTCATTTGTATTTTTTACAATTTTTATAATAATTATAATAGAAAAACGAATGATGTAAATTTGTAAATAATGAGTAAGATAAGCTTATTTATCATGACAATGTCAGCAATGCACATAAAAATTCAAGTGTTTTAATATGTGAGTGTTAAATAATATGTATGTGTTTTAACTTCTTAAGAAATAAAAATTAACAGTATAAGTTAAAAAACATTTTCGTTTCTTTTCATTCCATTTCGTGAATTTCAAGACTGCTTTAATGTCTTTGGTCATACTTTGAACCCTGTGTGAGGCTTACCATGTACACACGAATGTATAGAATGTAAAACTCAAGACATTCATAGCGCCAGTTTCGAAAATCACTGATTTAATTACATAAAAATACATAATCCTACATTTTAATTTCGCCTTTGAAGCCTTAACATATTTATTTGATTTCCATCAAACAGCGTGACTAACGGATAATTTTCGACAGAAAATATTATTTCATATTAGCTATCAGCACTATCGAGATTTGACAAATTGTGAACTGATTGTTCATTATAATCATCCATACTGTGTGCAAAATTATTTGCAAATTTGTCGAACTTCCATGGTAAAAATATTCAATTATTTATTACTAAGTCTGTTCATATCAAATCAATCGAAAATCTGATGTGAGAATGATTTTCCTAATAATAACTTTTGTCGAGATTTTCCAGGACTAGTTTTATTCTCAACTTGGAGTACTATGTATCCTGGGACCCCTAAAATTATGAACTTGGCAAAGTCTGCAAGCAAGTAAAAAAATTCTTAACAATTATTGCCATTTTTCGAGCAATAAATTTAAAATCATTTCTGCTGACTAATGCATAGAAAAAAACATTTTCGTTCGATGCTGCTCTGCTAGTAGCAAATACGTACTTTCCATTTTTTAATTAATATAAACATTCGCAAAATTTAAATACATCATTGGTTGTTAACGAGAAAAGCATTGATCGTTCGGTATAACGCCGTATACACCAAGACAGAAGTCAGGCGTGGCGGTCAAACATGCCTCGGTGTTGCGGTAACGCAAGAACGTCTCAAATTTTTAAGTAATGCAACGTAACACTCAGAATTAATTAATTCAAAATCCTCGTTAAAACGCTTTAAAACTCATCTGTTTCTTTACTCGAATTTGAATACAAAAAATATCGAATGGCTCTCGAGTACAGAAAGTTTCCGGCGGCCGGTTTCAAATGTATTGTAATCGAGGTCGATCCAAAATCCTAATTAATATGATGATCCTTTCAGCGATTTCACACTTGGATGCGAAACCGGATAAACCACGCTACGAGACAATTAATAATAAAAACGAGCATCAGGCGTCAATGTGTGCACAGACTTTATTGTTTCTCGGCTCGTCGGCTCGCATCGTGCGTTCATAAAATATATACACACAAATCCGTGACACATCCGTAGGCGTGTTCGACACGTGCTACCGAAGTGTCTGATCTCGTGTTTACCACTGCTTCGGCAGAGGAGAGGCTCGTACGATGCTGCTATTCGTCAGCTGCCGTCGTAGTCTTCGTCGACGTCGTCTATATACACATAATTAATACATTTATATCGTTATCAATGACGCATTTTGCGCTATTTTTTGCTTTTCGTACAATTAATTATCGATCAATTTTTCTTGGAGATCCTCCCGTATCGCGCACAAAATGCTCACGTTTTCGAATTAAACGATCGCGGATATAATATTTTTTACAACGCGCCTCACGCCGAGGTGAGCGCCGTTAAAAACTTCTCGGAAGAACGAAGGTGATATACACGCGAATGTTTATAATGTATGTATGCTAAAAAGTTCGGTCAGAATGACTCGTCGGATTTCCCGCGCGAAAAAAAAAGAAGGCGGGCGGGAGAGAGCGCGCGATAACGTACCGATATAATTAATGTTTCTATTATTCCGTAAGCGGTGCACAGCCGATCCAAACGTGACACTCACGTTCTTTTGATATCAGATAAGCAGCAGCGAACTATTTATACGCGTACATAATATGTATATTTTTTTCCGTTATCAACGCGTACACGAGACCGCGATTAAGTACATACGTTATTAACCGATCTCGGAAGGAAATCGGTAATACGCGCGCACGCGTTGATCGCACGTGACTCGAGAGCGATGTGCGTCAGTCTCGTTTAGCTTGAAATTATGATAAATGATGCAACATTCGTGAACTCACACCTGGTCGACGGCGATCTCGAGGCAGAGCAGTCCGAGCGCCAGCGCGGCGCCGTAGACGAGCAGATAGAAGGCCCCGTAGCACTCGGTCAGTCCGACGCTGAGGAAGCGACGGGACGAGCCGCAGCTCGGCCGCTTGGCGTACAGACGATCGAGCTCGCGGCCCCGCAGTCCAGTCTCGTGCAGTTTCAATGCACTGAAGGAAAGAAAAAAAAATGAACTCGCACTCGCGTCAATTGGAAAAGCCAACGCGGATCGCAATGACGAAGAGCAAGGTTAATTCGTACGTATACACGTTTACGTTTCTCATTCGCGTATACGTATGCGTTTATACGTACCCGACTCTGAAGTGCTCGACGTAGGGCGACCTCACCGGTATCACGAAGTGCGGATCGAACTGATTCAGATAATCGATCTCGTGAAAGTCGCACTTCTCGTCCTCGGCGTAGGTCTCGGCGACGATCTTGTAGGCGGCGCCGAGGACCACGTGAAACGCGAACTGGCCCCGCCTGACGCGCTCGATGCCCTCCTCGATGCCGTACCAGTTGCACTTTTTCGACGTGCTGCCGCTGCAGATCCTGTCCTCGTAGACGCTGCGCCTCACGGGATCCTTGAACGAGCCGAAGTAGTGGCGATTGAAGACGGTGTCGTGCACCGCGAGGGTCAGCGGACTGTCGAGCAGGTCGCGCAGATCGTTAATAGAGCTGGTTGTTGATTGGAGCAACGCGACTATGTTGGCCGCGTAGGCCGCGTAGAGGTTCAGGGCGGCCAGCAGCGCCATGAGGTAGATGAGGCGGGTGGGCATCGAACGGGGCTCGTACCAAGAACCTTGAAATGCGTGAACTTTTAAAAATGGATTTCCGCTTTTATAGGATCATAACACGAAGATGTATAGACCTTGCTGCGAGACGGCCCCGAGGACGACGATCAGGTCGTCGCTCAAGCTCGGCGGATTCGGCTCGTTCAGCGACTCGCGCTTGTCTCGGCCGGTGCTCAGCCACTCGAGCCTCATGGCCGGATACAGGAGGCCGGCCAGAAGCAGCAGCAGGCCCAGAGCACCCAGCCAGACCGAACGGCCGAACGGCAGACGAAACAGATTCGAGATCGATGATAGGGGCGGCCGGCGAAACACGAACCGAGAGCTGATCAACGACAATTGCTAATTTTCCCATGCTATATAGCTGTATTATCGTTATATAGGTAGGTGTATATATAATACGCACTGAGACGTCGTCGTGAGAGATATGTACTGGACGACGCCGATGCGCTGGCCGACGAGGAAGGTGCCGGTGCCGCCGAAGTCGATCTCGCCGCGCTGCAGCTGGCCGATCATGCCGCCCCAGGAGCCGTTGGCCGACAGATAGCCCCAGGTGCCGACCCGATCGAAGCTCACGCTGTGCGCCATACGTAATAAAAGAAATAACAAATGAGCATTGCGTAAGGTGTACCTTTTTTTGTCTGCGAGCGCCTAATTACACGTAAACGTTATAAGAATCTGATAATAAATCGATCGTCGCGAGAAACGATTAAAATATTCACCGTTACATTCTCGAGAAATCATCGTTACAAGTGCATAATCGATTTTTATGTAAGTTTTCATAATCGTTACGATATCTCGCGCTGCGATCGAACGATTATTAAATGCTCGACCCATTAAAAATCATTCGTACGACGATATTATAATATCGGCTTTTGCGTATATGCTTCACTAACGTGGCATTGAACATTTGGACGAAGAGCAGCGCCCACGGATAGTTGCTCTTGGTGATGGTGTCGATGTGCTTGTCCTGATAATCCGTCAGGTGATTGATCGTATCTTTGTTGGTTATCTGGAATATCACGAAAATAATGTAGGATACTCTTTTTTTTTTGTTTTTTTTTATCTCGAGTACATTACCACCAGGCTTGATTTGAGAGCGGTGCCGCGTAGATTCTTGCGTCTGCGCCAGGCCACGACGTCGCCGACTGACCCGGACAGGCTCAACGCACCTCCGCCTCGGTCCCAGTGGCCTATGTCCTCGATCAGCAGCTCGCGAGATTCTTTGCTCGTTCTGTAGACGGAAACGACCCTTCCCGATGATGACACGGCGACCACCTCGCTGCTCGGATAGATATCTCTGCTCGCGAGCAATCGGCCGAGCTGGCTCGAAATATTTTCGTTTTGGCTAATCAAGAGCCATTTGTAGGGCGTCGAGAACAATCGGCCGGCGTCGGCGGCCTCGACCAGCCGCTCGATCGTATCCTCGGAGCAATCGAGATCCAGGATAAAGAGCGCACGGTGAGAATCCAAAGTCAGCCGATGCTCGCTGTCTTTGACCCTGAAAAATCGAAAGCGAAATTATAATTACACCGAGTTCGACCCAATTACCTAATTATATGGTACGTACCGCGACGATCGATTAACGAATTCATCGACGCCGATCGAGCGGATCGGGCCTAAGAAACTCGTGGCCAATCCTCGAAGCGGCTGCAGCTGCCGCTCGTTTTTCGCGCGGCCGCAGGTGAAAATCTGGAGAGCCGAGAAGCGGCTGGAGTAGAGCCGGGCGTCCAGGGCGCTTCTCAGAAAATCCACCAGATCGATTTTCCCGCCGAGCGAGCTGATGACACCCCCCGCGCAAAGCAATAGCGGGAGGAATTTTTGCATTTCGTGCGCGATAAAAAATCAAAAAGGCGCCCTCTTATCGACGTCGAACTCGAGACGTGCTCGACTGTATATTATAGGCGATGAAAATCTCCGAGAGTTACTTTTTCTTCGGCTCGCGCGGAATGAGGGGGTAATAAAAATCAAATAAGCGGATGTTTATACAGGCTGGATAACTATAGCTAGTGCAATAATGCACTCGGTAATTTCAGACGAGTTGAATAATTTTACTCTTGCGCGACACGTATCATCATCCATACGCGGTGGGACGAGTTTCGCCGATCGATCGATATCGCTGATAGGCGCGCTGAGTGCAGCCGAAAGAATCAACCATAGCAGCTTTTTTTTTCTTCCCTTTTTGAATTTTTCATTTCGTTCCAGCGCGGAGATATAGATGCTACTGCACGATCACAGCTGTATACAAGAGAGAGAGAGAGAGAGAGAGAGAGAAAAACAGCCGGAGAAAGTGAAAACGTACAATTGCCTATAAATCCTGCACATAATGTGTACACAATAGCCAATGCCACACCAGCCAATCCGTCATAATATAGCTCCGTTGCTGCTGCTCTATATATTTTGTCGGAGAGCGACGCGCACACACACACACACACACTTACAAATGCTGCAAAAGTGTACATTATAAAATTGAGAGTCAGATAATGGCTGCAATAATAAAGCCACGACGCTCGACTGACTTTTATGGATAATTACGCGCGCGCCTAGAGCCTAGAGCTCTCTGGCTTTTCTAGAATAATCCAGGCCTGCGAAGCGCCGCTATTTTCGTCGTCAACGACGGCACATTTTGTATATATTGTTATAATTTTCCGCGCGAATCTTGTGTTAAAATTTTTCGCGCTCGCATAACAACGGAATATTTCGAGATGGCGCGTGTACGTGCGTATATAGGAGCAGCTATCGGGCGCGCGAGAGAGCTGTCAAAGTCGCGATCTCGCACCTTCGCGCACGGCTTTTTTTTGTGCACAGGTATTAAATGCCTCTCTCTCTCTCTCTCTCTCTCTGTACCTTGTGCCAAAATAAATATGTATCGTAAAAACAACGATTGCGCGCGCGCGAGCTGCAGTGTCGTTGAACTGTCATTATTATTACAAAAACGCAGTCGCAGCCGCCGACGGTTCCAGACTTTTGCCCCACGCGCAGAGACGTTTGCGCGCCTAATTTTCAGCGGAATAATCAAGTCAACTCGTTGTAAAGTCGTTGCGACGAAGAGAGAGAGAGAGAGAGAGAAAAAGAAAATTATATGTTTGTAGTTATGGACAGGTGCAGAGTCGAGGATACAGCGACCAAAGATCCTCGTTTACCTTTTCGTATGATAATTGTTAGAGAGATTTCTTGAAGGAAATCCTTGAACCGATCGAATCTTCGAATGATCCAATGGTTCGAATATAAGGAGGATCAAAAAATTTGAGCATACACTTTTACTTGAACGAAGATCAAAATATTTCTTTTAGTTAATACAATGTATATTGTGATGAAATGCTAAATTTCGATTTCATATTTTTCAAATAACTTGAGCTCATGAAAAAATGTTTATAAATACTCGATCCAATCCAACAACTTTTCATATTATGATGAAAAAAAAAAGAAGATGATCATGTTGTTCTCGTTGTTGTTCTTTATGCGTCGAGTTGAATTTCCGCGTATGCTTATTTAGAATTATACTTAGAGGTAAAGGAACAAATTCATTCTACACTACAAAAACATTTGCCAAAAACGAAAACTTGAATGAACTTAATTTTTGATAGGAGGATAAGTAAAATAATTTTGAATACCACAAATCCGTGTAATTAAATTATTCCGTTAGAGAAGTTTTTATCGCACGCGATTAAAATTTTAAAAAATATAGAAATGTTAGTTTAGCCATGTACGTACGTGTATATATTTTTATGAAAACAAGGATGTCAAAATGTTGAGCCGTCGCCGCCGCCGCGACGCTGTTGACATTAAAACGAGTTTCATAATGTTTGCTCGCGTTTCGCGCGCGCACGCCACAGCTCTAAATTCACCGCCGCGCGTAATTATAACTCGGTAATTCTAACAATGCGCGCGCCTGCACTTGGTTTTTTTACATTCATTATTTTTTCTTCCTCTTCTTTTTTTTTTTAAATCATCCCGAATCAACCTTACGATACGAGCACGCGCGCGATCGATCGCATCTCGCCTAAGCGCGACAAAAAAATGTTCTCTCTTTCTCTCTCTCGAGAAAAGTAAATAGTATACGAACGCGTAAAAATCTCGATCAAATAGACTCGCGACTATATCATCGGATTCCACAACGATGAGCGCAGAACGATAACGTAAAGTAAACGCGGGGTCCGAAGTGTGCTCTCGCACAAGCCAAAAGTATCCGCGCGCGGAATTTTCAACGAAAATTAGCCGCGATATCGATAATTGTACTCGATCGCGCGAGAGATAATAATAAGCTCGCGAGTTCGCTGCCACTTGCAGTTTTAGCTCCTATATAATGTATACCTCAATAATATTAATTCAGCGGCTCAATTGTCGTGTGCACTCGTTACGAATGATATAATTTCCAAGAGGTCTTGTAGTGTCAACACAGAGAGCCTCGTAATAATAAAAAAAAGACGAGAGCGAAAAATTCTTTACAGACGCGCGGCGTTGATCTTTTAATTTGCTGCACAAATACGCGCGCGGCTATTACATGTGCCATAACGTGTTTCTCTGTCGAGTCGATCGCATGGCGCTTCCGTGATGCACATTTTAATTAATTAATTAATTAATAATTACGATTGAATTTTTATTGCATATTATTATTTATACGCGTTTACACGATCGCCGATGCGGCACGAGGCAAATATTGACTCGATGCGCGCGCGCGAACGGCTACTGTCACTTTAATGACGTTTTTTTTTTCGTTGTTGATTTTCTGTTTACGTCGTTTTATTTTTTGTTGTCAACTTGTCGAATTGAATTTCTCAGAGCTGCGGTATGCGACTTCTGTGCGTACATACATGTATGATAGACGCGAATCGCAATGTCAGCTGCGATTTACACAAAGATATTTGTGCGCGGTATAAGCCGAGCCCTCGTACATATGCTACGACGAAAAAAAGTTCGAAGCGAAGCTTTTTGTTACAGTGGAACATTTACGATTCGACGCGATAATGTTTGCAGTTTCGAGCGCATCGTGAATATGCATAATCAATTTAATATCTTTATTCGAGGTGTATTATATACACGCGCGTGTACAGTGTAAAACGTGAGAGCAGGAAAATTCGGCCGTTGCTCGGTCTCTCTTTTTCCTGGCCAAGGTATGTATGTATGGAAACATTTATTGAGGAAAAAAAAGGATGTAAACAAACAAATCTTTTTTGGTAATGCGAAAATCTCGATGACGATTTTCCCCGATGCACGCAAGCGTTGCGAAAATTTCAAGCCGCAAACTGGAGCGTAATTTTTCAGTCACTGTATCGAGCAACGAGCAAAAAATTTGGCATCTAATAAGTTAAAAAGTCATTTTTGGGTAATTTTGATCGCGTAATGATATTCAGAGAATTCGACAAATGAGTTTAATTATACGAACGATTGTGTCAAAACTATGTCAAAGTTATCGGTGCTTTTTTTTACTTAATATCATGGATACAATGCGTAAGGTGATTTAAATACCATTGTATTATCTGTATAACAAGAAACTTTGCACGCCTAAACTAGTCAATCAACATTAAATTCGTTTGTACGTCATTTGAAGGATTAATAAAATGATGTATTTGAATCAAGTTATCAGTTAATCATTAATAAGTGATTAGTTGTTATTTCGCTACAACAGAAAAAAAAGAATTAAACTAGGTACGTCAAGGATCAATCTTGTAAAGGTCATTAATTTAATTTTAAATCGAACGCAGTCAACTGAGTATAAAAACTCATTTTACGAAAAAAAAAACGTATTCGACTCCGTTTTAACACTACGAACTTTAACAATAAAAATTCATTAAATAAAACCAATAAATAATATTGTTAGAAACTTTCACTCTCCGGTGACCCGAAGACACAGCTGTCGCCGCGGCCGCTAATTTTCCCCGCATTCTCGATCGCGTATCTTCGGTCGTTGCACTCGACGATTTTTCGTCGGGGAAATTTCTGTCGCGCTCGAAGGTCGCGTCGATCATCATCATCTTTCTGCTGCTGCTGCTGCTGCAATCCGTTGCAAAAGTCAACAAGGATCTCGCGCGAGTATACAATATAATTATCAATTCGAAAATCGTTTCTAATCTCGTTCAAAGAAAAGAGCGAGTTACACAATACTCGCGTCGATAAGTGCGCGCCTGCTTAAAAGTAAATCCCCCTTAATAAAAAATTTTCCTCCGCCGCCGAGTTTAGGTATAAAGAGCGAGCTCTCGCCCCGAACGAGCTGCATGATCGCGGCTTATCGTCGCCTCGCGCTATGTACAGAACAAGAAGAAAAAAAATACGAAATAATAAAGAGTAAGAGCAGCGGCGCTGGTTTATTTTTGCGCGCGCGACGTTTTACCCAAGCGCGCGTAACAATACGTAATTTCGCGAGCTCGGTTGGGTGCGATTCTCTAACGATATGTACGAGCGGCGGCAGTGACATCGAACGCCCGCGTGATAACAATTATTATACTTTGTATAGGTGCCTCGCACACGACACGGAGGCGTGTGCCAGCCAAGTGCAGATCGCGCTCTACACGTGCTTTCGGTTTTTTTTTCTTCTCTCGCGCGGCGCGATCGGAAGCACGAGACGCTCACGCTTTAACCGATATGTATATTGCGCGATTCATCATCATATACAGTCGTGTGTGCTGCGGAGAAGGCGGGGATCGCTCCCAAGCGCGTAATCTTAATACACAATGATATATCGAGGTATACGTGAGCAGAGGCTGCAATTGAGCATTAACGAGTACCGAGCGCCGCGAACGTGTATAAATAATAATGATACGAGCCTTTTTTTTTCTTTCTTTTCTTTTTATTGCTTCATTAACGTGCTCGACGCTTCTATACATATACTTTTTCTTTTCATATATATTATTTTTTATCGGCGCATTTGGTTCGCGATAAGCTGTACGAACGCAAAACGGTATTAATAAGCCGCTTTGAGTCGATATTCTTTCTCTCGATTGTATTATTATTAAAAGATGCGCGCGTCCTCGTCGATCGGGGTATGTGTGCAATGTCACTGACACCGCCCGGGTAATTTTACCGATTACAAGTTTTTCTTTCATTCCGCTTAGTTGGGTAATTTACCACGATGAATGGCATTCCATTTTTCCTCGACGAAATTGCTTCGATCGATTGGCCCGAAAGTATCCTATGAATCTTTTTCCGGTTGCCTATTAAGGCCAAAAGACTCGTCGAATTCACGAATGTCATTTTTCACAGCTCGCACGCTAACGACGATCGAAGGAATGTTACGCTATGCATCCGGGCACTCATCTTCGTGTAAAATAATATACCGATCTTCGTATTACACATGCATGCTATAGAACGATTCTCAATTATTTCGAGAATCAAGTACTGGCTGCGTCTGTTTCTCTATTGTTTTTATAGCCACGAAATTATGATCATCATTCGAGAAGACGAGCATACGTCCCATCTGTAAGTGTGAAGATTCGACACATGTTCTCTCGTACCGAGATCGGATGAAAAAGTGGATGGTATAGCGGAAGTAACTTCCCACATTCACACCTATTCGATTTGGTATCATAACTGAAAAATGACTACGAGTGGAAAAGTTGAACGCGCGTCGAGCGCATATTTTTCATGTGTGTAATGTGTATGTATAGGGATCGGGCGCGCGAATTGGCCAAACATTGAATTTTTTTCGCGCGCGATCGGATCGACGAGAGAGAGAGAGAATAAAATAAATAAGGATTATCACTTGCATGCGCTTACATTGCAATATTGACATTGAAGTATGTACGTGTGTACTTTTTTTTGGTAAACACGCTACTCATGGTTACTGAATACATTTTTCTTTTTGGGGAATTCATGCGTTTAGGTGTAACAAATCGCTCGTTTTAACGTCGCTTTCCGCACGACCCGCTCAAACTCGGACAATTAAAAATGTATTTATATAATAGGTTATCATTATATGTAAATTTAACGATGATCGAAATTCGCGGATATCATTAAAACAAAAATTCATCGAAATTCGACCGCGACACGCGTTAGAACGTGCGGATGTTCATCGTTGCGGAGCGACGAGGCACACCCCCGTACGCACTTTATAGACTCCACCCCTCGTCACGTACTACTTACCCCTCCACCCCTGTGCCGGGGGACCGCCATGCAGCGACCTTGACCATTGGTCGAAAAATTTCGCGTGTCGCGTTTCGTCAGCATCGTTAGGTACCTGTTTTTCCCTTCTCCTCTGCTGCTGCCTCAACACCCCACCATAGAAGATCGGTCGAGTTGTGGACCATAGTATATAACTAGGCAAGAGGCCGCTCGAGAGCCATTAGTTCAGTCATTGTTCCTCTCTGCCCGTAAGCTCCTCTACCGTACCGTACCTCGTGTATCTTTCTCTCCTCTCTCTCTCTAAATTCATACTCGTACACTTTTTTTTCCTGTTTCTTTCACTCTCTCTCGCGTTTGTTAATATCAGTTCTCTTCTTGTTTTGTTGTATAAATTTTTGTCGACGAGCCGCGCGACTAGCAGCGATTTTTCAGTGATTCTACCCAGCTAATACACGTATTTACAGTCAGTTCACGAAGCATCCCAGTGAAGCGCTATATAGTTTAAACAAAAAAAAAAACAGCTTCAAACGACGCCATCTCCTAGATCAAGTTGTTTATCGATATCGGATCAACGGAGCAAGGATCACACAGTGCATCCAACTCTTGTTTACTACAACTGCTACCACTTGCAACCGATACTTGCCGATCTTATACGCGCACCTCGGTCGACACCTCGTGTTCTCCCCGCAACGCACATACATCATCGCCGAGATCAAGTGTTAAAGTTTATTACAAATAATACATAAATCCAAGATCAGCATCAGTGTTTAGCAGCCAAGTTTGAGTTCGTCGAGTCGTCGAGACACACATCGACGTTACGATATACATACATCACATAATCTCTGGTAGTAGTGTGCGTCCGTCACTCAGCCTCTGTCCGTCTGTCTGTGTGTAATATAGTGCGTGCGCGACGACGCGAGTAACAGGTGGGGATCGCTACTACTACTACTGCTGCTGTGTTGACTGTCGTCGTCGTCGAGCAGCTCTCTCGGCTGCTCCTTCCTCGGTTCTCGCAGCGCCTCACACTACTCTCGTTGGCAGCACCACACGTACTTCCCCAATCCGTGTCCGTGTGTGTGTATATATCGATACATATAATGTATCAGCGGTGAGCCCCGACGTTTGTTGCTATATCGTCGCTGCTGCTGCACGCCGCTGCCGCCGCTGCTGTGCCTCGCAGCTACAACGACTCTCAGACTGTTTTTCGGTGTCGAGCGCGGAGCAATCGTGCGTAGGTGTTCGGAGATAGACTTGGAGAAAAGTGCGCGACAAGATCGGACTCTGACAGCAGACAATCGATCGAGCGACGAGAGGATCGTCGTCGCTTTGGATTATAGTTGAAAGCTCTTTTTCTCTGTGATTCGATCGGCTTAACGCGGCTCCGGACGCGAGCTTCTTCAACGCGGTACATCGTCGCATCGTCGAGAAGATCCTCGCGCACGTCCGCATAAAAGAAGGAGAAGATTATTTTATATATATTTATACACGCGTTTTTGTGACAACGACAACCACGGCAAAAACAGCGGTGTAAACAACCAAAACTCGTCGTGGCGATGAACGGAGAAAAGGACTTTGTGAAGATGGTGAAGGCGAAGATCAAGAAGCCCAACGTGACGCCCGCGCCGCCCAACTCCCTCAACAACTCCTTCAACGCGGAGGCCGCCGCCGCTGCCGCAGCCACCGCCCAAGAGGGCCCGGCGCCCAGGCCCAAAAGTAAGTCTCTCTTTTTTTGCTTTAGCTTTTAATCGAAATCAAACGATCGTCGCTCGCGTCGAATTTTTGTTTACTCTGGAGCGTCTGTCAAAGCCGCCCCACCGACACCGATCTCTATTTCTCTGTCTCGTATACGTACTAAACGAGTATGTTATTTCATATACAACATAAATTGGACGATACTTACGTATGTGTGTGTGTCGATGATCGCGTCGTAATTACACGCGCGAGATTCGTACGCACGGACCATTCATTAAATACATTGGGATGTACGTTTTGTCCGTGTATTTTCGGCATACCGATTTTTCGGAGCATCATACCGATCGTCGAGTGACGCCCCCGCGCGTACATCATATAATAAATAATATAAACTTAAATTTTTTCGTCACACTTCGAGGTCGTCAACACCTCTTGCTCGGAGACGCATTCGGTGGTATATCTTAATAAGTGTGTCATATCGTACGCGTATACAAAGATATAACGTCTGTGTGTGTATATGTAGCATAGACCGGAGCGCGTGGAGCAGCTATATGTGTCATTATTATTACTACTACTACTACTAGTGTATAGGCGCAACAATCGGAGCTGTTTTTCGTCTGCACGTTGATACGTACGTATCTCGGCTCCGGCTCTTGTAATACATAATTTGATTTCCTCGATATGTATGTGTATCGGTAATTCTCGTAATACGCGTAATACTCGCATATACATATAAGTCTGCGCGTAATGTATGCAAAAGCAAGCTTAATTGAAACTCTTACATATGTATATATCATGTGTACCGAGAAACAAGTGTACATTATCTATTGGCGTCGATTTGATTGATTCTCGTAATAGAAGCGAGGCATATAGATTTTTGGTTCGATTCCGAGTCACACGAGTACTTTCTCTGCGAACTAGGTGGCCAAGCTATAATTGCTTTGGTATGAGATAATCAATCATAATTTCCGAAATCGTTCGGATTCTACTTAAGTTCTAATGTACACACACGCGCGTGTTAATGAGGATTTTCGAGAGCTACTCCAACTCGTCGAGTTGTTGATCGAAGGGGGGAACCCAGAAGCTAATTAATCGTTCTCCCGAAAATCGAGCGATCCACTTAATGGTCGGCTTAGCAGTAGCAGGTGCTACTGTTGTATACATAAAAGAAACTCACACCTATAGAATCAAAGATTGACATGTATACATAAGCAAGCGCATCCGCTTTTACCAGTATTGAGTTCCGATAAGCTATAATCGCGATTGGAAATCGACGTATTTTCGACGATCGTGTACACACATGCCGTTGGAATCTTAGGATAGTAGTATATAGATACACGGGTGCAACGAGTGCCTTCAATTGCGTAATGAGCGCAGCGCACTGATCGTCGTCGTTGCGGCCGCTGATATATCTATATATCTGTATCGCGCACACGCACGTAGCACATGTACCACACACACACACACACAGACAGACAAGACCATTCGAGCGAATATTCGCAGTCTTGACTCGCGAGCATATATCGCGCAAGGTCGCCGCCGCGTGTGGACTCTATGCTGCACCGCACCGCAGTTTAAGGTGCAGGTGGCGCACTATAAGATACGCGCGTATCGATCGATCGATATTGTAAGTCCGTCGCGTGATACGAGCGCTTATGTTTCATTTATTTACTTTATTATTATTATTTATTATTTATTTTTTTATAACAATAACAGAAAAAAACGTAAACAATCGTGGATGAATAATACAGGAGATTCTCGCGATGCGGATGCGAATTTTCTCGCTTTTATACTCACACACACGTGTATAAAAGTTCCGGCTTGGCTGCGCGCGAAAATTAGGTGCGATCGTATAATGTAACGTACTCGCCTATATGCAGTATAATATCGTAAATGCAATTAGCTTATAAAGTACAAGGACTCGACATGTGTGTGTGTATGCGCCTGTGTTTTTGTGTTTATTCGTATACTTGACTAAATGGCCCCGCGCGCTGCAACGAATACGAAGCTGTGTGTTTCATTTTCGAAATACAATGGCTTGTTTATTGTCCAAAGCGCAACTCGCGCGATTGTTATATATATATTGTATCGCGCGTGTGGCACGTGTTGCAATTAACCGCGGCGACTCGAATCCGCATAACACGCGCGATTATTCGCGTTAACGTGAATAATCAAGAGAGAAAGAGAGAAAGAGAGTCACTTTCGATCGCTCGAAAAACTATCGATAATAATATCGACGATCGATGATCGGATACACGAGTGCATTATACACAATTGTGGCAGCAACGATCGGCGCACGAGGCTGTCGATCATCGTCACGCGGCGCACGTGTGCCGCCGCCGCCGAGACTTATATGTAGCGGCGCGAATATGATTGATGAAAAGTCGCGCGCGCGCGAGAGAGAAAAGCACATCCACGACGACGACGACGACGACGACGACGCACCTCCGCACTTACGAATCTCGTATCTCAACGATAATATTGAGCGCTACATTCTCGCGGTGCACTATCCGCTTGACATCTCGTTATTGCTTATTGCACAATGATGATTGCCTGCGCTCACTGCCGAGAGTTATGCATTTTACAGCTCTCCAGGTTTACGTGTGTTATAATTGCAGCTGGTATATATATTTTTTTACTTCTTCTTCTTCCTTTATTTTTATCAACGCGCCGCAAGTTGTCGAACTTGCGCAATAACCGGGCTGCCGCTCGCATAATATAATAATTGTCGCGCTCGTTGCTGTTACTTCGCAGATTCGCCGTAAGTGTACATCGTAATTTCGTCGTCTTGTCATTTTTTTTTGTTTTTTTCAAAAATTTGTATTAATTCGCGATCACCGCGCGGCACGTGTGTAAACGTACACACACAGCGCCGTGGATGGGCGCTGGCGTTATGCGTTCGACAAAATTATGACACATCGGGCTTTATAGCACTCGTGAATTATGTTCCAATCGTCGAGCCAAATATTTTCTAATATTATCGCGCCACGCCGCCGCTTTTCGCGGTGCACGTTTCGATTCGTCCGTTCGCGCGAGTGAATCATCCATACGCGCGCGTGTACAACTCTCAATATACGTATATAATCCAATCGTCTAGCCGATCGTCAATTCTTTTTTTTCTGCCTCGCGATGAATCGGATTAGACGATAAAAATAGTACACACAGTGTGCGTGTATGCTCGAGTAAAAACGACCAAGTAGCAGAGACGTTCACCTTTGTGTGCCGCCGCATCATCGTCGCAATGATTTCCTCGCTTTTCTATCCGTGATGCTTTTCCGCATCCGCACATGGAAAAGTGCCGATCGGTTATTGCATCGATCGCGCGAATCAATGCGCATTATAAAAACAATTATTACGATCGCGATCGATTACAGCACGTATGCAATAAACCGCGCGCATCGGAATTGTATAACTCACGAATTCGTAAAGAATATATATGGATGAATTTTTAGCGAAGAAGCAAGGAATTCCCCAGTAGGCGCGTGCGCCTATATATTTCACAATAACCGATCTCCTCGCCTTTTATCTTTATCTCTTTTTTTTTACTATAGCAAAACTTTAGATCCTTTTTTTACTCACATAAGTATTTTTTTATCGTGGCGATATAATCCTACGAATGCAAATGTCCGTGTGTTGTGCTGCTGCTGCTTGCCGATCTCGCGCGTCCTTGCTCGGCTGGTGCGTGCGCGAAATCAGACAGCCGCACCGGCTGCGAGCGAGAGATTCCACGCATTCTTTTTTTTATATCACTCGTATTATTATTTACACGTCGGAGAATCGATAGCAGCAAAATACCCGCAGCAAATATGTATTATAAACAACAAATATGTATTATATTATATATAAAAAAATAAAGCTGCAGCGACGAACGATCGTATCGATTTTGCTCGTGTTGCATGTGTTAAGGTACACGTAGCCCCGCACGCGGGTGCAACGTGTGCGTATTAACCCTGATTTTTATAGTTCGCGTATGCGACTGTGCGTGTACACTTGCCTATAAGGAAGTGTATCCATATAGTCCGCTGCTGCTGCTGCTGCTCGACGATCGTGAAATCGGCGCTACTCGTGATTTTTATATATACAAACACACGACTCGAGAGAGAGAAGCGGAGAATTCCTTGACACGGTTCGTTTACCCTCGCGGCTGTACATATATACGATGATTGGCATCGGCGGTGATACATATATATACTATGTATACGAACTCTCCTCCGAGCTGTTGCTGCTGCGCAAGTGGTCGTATAATGGCGCACTTGATGCATACACACAATAGCCACTAGCATATATATACTCTGAACATTATAAGTAGTGTATATGACAGATGCTTGTGTAAAGTGCGCGGATTTAAAAATCCACAGGTGTCTCGGTGTGTTTACGGCTTTATGTAGCACGTGCGTCGCACGAGATAACATATGAGCGGAAGTAGGTAGTGCTCGGGACAATTATATCATTTAATATAGCGTATACGAATCGTGTATATCGCTTATGAAAGTCGCCGCCTCGCTAAACAATTATATGTATATGGGGGCCGATCGCATAGTCGTTCGCTGTATAACCCAATTAATGGTCGATTAATCCGGGGGAGCCCCCGACCGAGTATATACGCGCAGTGTGCACACGACGATTCACGGTCAATGACGAATTATATTAAATCGCATGTGTGTGCAATAAAGCTCGGTATAATGTGGTACGTACACGAGTTCATTCGTTTGAACTTGAATGTTATTGTTATTTTCTTTTTTAAATTTATTACAACGCATTTGTTTTCGCGCTGCGTCGTACACTATGTAATTCTTCGATTTATAGTACACACATAGATGCTCAAAGTTAGATCGTGTATGTCGCATTCATGCGCACTCAAATGATCAATCAACGAAAATCGGCTACATCCTACTTTCGTAAATACACACGCGCGCACACACACACACACACACACACACACACACACACACACACACACACACGACCATTCACGCTATCTATATCTTTGTGCGTAACGCGCGAGTCGAATTCAACCGACG